GAGGGTGAGAGGGTGAGAGAAAGGATAGGGAGGGAGTCGGTCCTGACTTGACTTTTAAAAATCCTTTACTCTGCAGATGACAAATAACCCATTAGATTGCAGGAGAGCTGGAAAATCTGGAAAGCCTTCCTACTGCACACATACTCAAATACAAGCCTGTGCATTTTCCAAACGTTCCTCACTTTAAAATAAGCATGGTTCAGATGATTGTTTTAAACTATTGCTGCATGCAAAAAGAAAAATCATTCCTGTGAGTAGTGTGGAGGAACTATTGAGCTCAATGCAGTGAAGTTACTTAGCAGACCATTACTTCAAAGAATTCCTCCAGGCAGAAATATGCACTGAAGCAAGTCTCACTCAATACTCTCCCTGAAGCCTTTTTAAATGTTCTGCAATAAGTCTATTAGAAACAGGTGACAAGTGTGAATGCAAACAAAATCAGAAAAGAAACAAAGCCGATCATCAGTTACTTTTGTGGGCTGTTAAGGGACAAATGCAAGTGTTAGATGTCTTCAAACATGTCAGTGAATAATCTCTGCTCGTAAATTAAACAGCAAGATAATATATAGAAGTTTTTTTGAAGATGACAAACATGGCCATTAACCTTAAGTCACTCTGGTCTCCTCACAGCAGCAGGTATTAGAGACTGAAAAATGAATACTGGGGGAAATTATTTATTTATATATTATTTATTTAAACCCCAACACAGTTAGCTAATGAAATGAGTCGACACCGAAGCGTGACAGTGTGCTTTCATTTCTAAGCAGGTGTCTTTGTACGTGTGTCACCAGGGAGGAGGTCATGATGTTACAAGGTTTGTCGCTCCCCAGTGAACACAGGGTGGGGTCAGAGTTGTGGGGTGAGAGGTGAAGGGTCACTTTGGTCCTTGATAATACCAGAGGACCCAAAGGACGGATGTCAGAGTAATAGAGAAATGGACGGTTATTGAACAAGCCATCATTTTTATTGTCAGCTCCCATATACCGGAAGTCTTTAACTACAGGTTCAAGCCCCCCAAAGTGGAGTCAGAAATCAGTGCAGGTGCCTGATATGTCTCCATGGAGATAAAAACAAGGCCCTTTTCCTCTAATGAATCACCGCTGTCCTCCGCTTTCTCTTTGCAGAAGTTTTGGTGATTTGATTCCGAATGATGGATTCTCCTCGCATCGGGTCTCAGCTCTCAAACAACCATTATCATTACGGATCCTGCTGACTTCTGGGCTCATCTGGACAAATGGAGAGGGCTTTTGAAATTTGAGGGAAGCCGTGTAGGAGAATGGTTAATGGGTAAAACACAGCCTCCTCTCTTTCTCACCCACGCTCGACTCTACTCATCCTTCATCCAGCTTCCATTTCCTCATTTTCCTCTCGCTATCCTCCTCCCGCCCGGCTCTCTCCTTCTTATGTCCTTGTCTCCACTACTCCCCCTCCATGCTTCCCTCTACCTGCTCAGAGAGCCCCTCCCCCAGCCCCAGTATCTCTGCTGCCATGCAGTCTTTCAAATTAATGTAGAGATATTGACAAGTGATGGGCCTGGGAGGCATAGATCATCATGAAGGAGAAGAGGAGGGCTGGGATCTTGCCAGGCCAAAAGAACGGAGGGGTTTCCTTCAACATCCACCGTACTACTAAACATGGAGAAGCAGCATTCAGTTATTATGCCCCAAATATCTGGAACCCAGAAATCTCCAGGTCTGCTGCAACTCTAATGACTGTTTTTAAATGCCTTTTTATAATGTGATTCCGTTGCACTATTTCTTAAAGGGGGCCTATCATGCAAAATGCACTTTTCGATGTCTTTTATAAATATGTGTCCCCGGTGTGTCAGGGAACTCACAAAGTGTCAGAAAACAAAACCCTCTCTCTTTTCCTCCATACCCAAATCTAAAAAAACGGGGGTACAAAGGAGCTGATCCAGATTTGCGTCCGATATGACGTAATATCGGAAATGCGGACCCACAGCACTATGAGAAACGTCGCTATCAGAAACAATGCCCGACTGTTGGACGTAATATGGTCTTTGTTTACATTAGCAATCATTGCTAACACTCAGAGCTAACCTGTACTGGAGAGAGCATGTGTAAAAATGGGAAATAAAAAAAGGAACTCACCTTGTGGTAAACCTGCAAGAGAAAAAGCATTTGAGCTCCATACTGTTTCAGAAATAATCCTTGATGTGGTTTGGTACATGATGGCGTTTAATCACGGCAACATTTAGCTGAGTATCTCGTAGAATTCTGAGCAGGCATTAGCTCCCCCTCCTCTTTTTCTTTTTTTCAAGCTAAGGACCAGATCAGCAGTTCTCTAATGGCGCGTTTCCACTACAGCGCGGAGCACGGTTTAAGAGGGCTGTGACGTCAGCGGCCCGTTTTTGGTTGCGTTTCCACTTGGCCTAGTACCGGCCGGCGGGTCCTAATTCACAGTTTTTCTGGCCTCATAAAATCGTGGGTCTGGGGCCAGAGACAACGAGGCTGAGTCGGGCTGAGTATGCTAAACTAGAGAGAGAATCGCTGGCAAGGGGGCTACAACTACAACAAGATGGACATATTTGACCGTGATTTAATTGTAATACACGTTTCAAAATGATGCCGAAGTAACAACATACTGATACCGGTTAGTAAAAACCATGAATTAATGCTTTGACAAGTCTGCAGACAGACGGCAGGCGAAAAACCTTTTAAAATGCGTGTTTTCTAAATGGAGATTGGCTAAGCTAACGCAGTATATGCTCCGACCGTCCACACTCACAACAACGGCCTATACAGACATAAATAAAGCAGCGACTGTATTCGCCATGACACAGGCAGTCTGTGGTTTGTACTTGTTTAACTTTTGTCTAGTTTCTGAAAATATATGAGGAGCTGTGAGCTCTGAGTGCTAACAGCTAACGGCTGTGTTGTTTTTCTGGGGTTCTCATTGAAGATGACGTCCCGGCTCCGCCTCCACTGCGTTACTATAGATACTACCCCAGTTCCTAAACTGTAATGGAAATGCGCCATAAAGTGAGCCAGTCCTAACGAGGCCTAGCCATACCGAGCGAGGCCGAGCGAGGCCGTGTAGTGGAAATGCGCCATTACAGGCCTGAAACAGAGGGATATGAGGGATGTCTAAAATGCATGATCTGTTTGGTATTTTGAAAAAAACATATCATAGACATGTTTTTGATATATTTCTATATATCTGAGAACCATAATATATGCCTAAAAATAGCATAATAGGAGACCTTTAATGCTCTTAATGTTTTTCATTTTTGTAAAGCACTTTGACTTCCCTTGTGTTGAAAAGTGCAGTATAGATTATCTGGCCAGGCCTTATAGCTTACTTTCTGTGGCTGTCCAGCAAACATACGTCAGGTTCACCAAGTTGTCCACAGGATCTCAAAAGTCCAGAAATCGGGTGATTTACTCTCTATGACTCGTATTAGAGATGGAAGCAACAACCCAACATTTTCTTTTACATTTTACAAAACATCACCAGGTAGCCTACATAACTATCTCCACTCTCCACCCTACATTTGGGGCTTTGCAAAGTGGATAAGGTGCTGCTAACAATGTGCAAAGGGCCGCTTGGTCAATATGCCAATTACATAGATGAGGGTATGGAAAGGGCAAATGATAGCCAATCAGTGAAGTGCTTTTACTGTCCTCTAGCAAGAGCTGACCCCCTGACCCCGTTTGATGACCTGAAGGCCAAAGGTCTCCTCTCCGGGGGTCAGAGGGCATTGCCACGCACTGGCCGGAGAGGCGTTGCTATGGTAACAGTGATGGCCGAAGAATGGCAAGATGTGGCGTTCAGGAGGAGAGGGGTCACTGTGGACCGACTGAGCAGAGATGGGATGTTCCTCGGATAGTTTGAGGGACAGTTCACGCTAGATTTAATATATGTTAACCCTTTTCTTGGTAGTGCTATTTCTAAAATCTACAATTGTAAAGTGTGTGAGGGGTCAAATGTGGGAAATATCAGTGGTAGAGATTTCTGCAATTTCATCATTGGAAAACACTAATATTCCCATCGACATTTTTAAATTACATTAAGAACAAACCCGTTTTAACTGAAAGTTTGAGATAAGTTTAAGTCAAAAGTTTTTTATGTATATTTTGGTCAGTGGTGATAGGTAAGTATGTTACATCATTCATTTACTATCTACTGTATACGTTTTACTTTTATATTTCAGGGGGAATTATAAGTTAATTAGTTAGGTTTCAAAGGAAGAAAATAAGCACTGAATATCTATATAAATACAATTGGGATATACACACACACACCATCTAAAATGTTATATATAACAAAATATCAGTCACATAAATGGTCTTATTATTAATATTATTATTATTATTGAAATATATTGTTCCTGAGAAAAACATCAAGAGGCACTTTTATTTCGTGCTTTGTTGCACCATCTAGGGGTGGATGTACAAATGACTAAAGTTGGTACCTTAGGGCTGTTTCTGGTCTATTAACTTGATCTGTTTTTATATTACCACTTGAAGTGTTTTGTCCGGCTCTGCCTCTTTTAACTTGCAAACAAACTACTCCCTTAGCCCCGGGAGAACTGTAATTATATTTTATCATCTGTTTGGGACTCTGCATGCTGTTTGCTATTAGTAGGCTATAGGCTTCTTTAATAAGAACTTGTATCCAGTGGTGTTAAGTAACGTGCATCAAGTAGCCCTAGGCTACTGTAGCCTACTTAAGTACAATTGTGAGGTACTGAGGTATTTTGTATGTTTACTCCACTACATTTATGTAAAAAGCTGAATAAAAAAAGTATCGTGGAAGCATTAAAGCAGTAAATAAAACTCCCGCCCTCGTTACATTCCCCAAAAAGCCCCACTTGGCGTAGGCTTTGAATGATCCTGTCAAGCAGGTCTTGACAACACACGACTTCCATAAACAGCCGGAGCAGACTTGTTTTTGAAACAGGTTTTATATTCTATAGCATATATTTAAGGTGTAGGCTAGGCATATATAAAGGACAGCTTTTCAATTTTCTTTTAGGGTATCTGTGCTGCTATTTTTCACTGCATGTGCATCGGGGTTTAACTTCCACGACCTCCAACACGCACAATCCTGCATGCGAGCAGGCTATTTGCGGTCATGTCGAGTAGAAAAACGAAAGACTTCGATGAAATGACTGCTTTTCTGGGCGACTACGGTTCCTTTCAAATTCTAATGATCGTTCTGCTTAGTTTAAGCACAATAATGTGTGGGTACACCGGAATGATTGTGGTTTTCGTCTCGGATACACCAGAGCACCACTGCAAAGTATCGATAAACTATACGCGCAACGCTACAGATGTGGAGGTTTCCTTCCGCAACCAGAGCATCTGGATCGGATCCGACAGCTGCTCCAGATACACACTGAACCGGAGCTCCACGGAGGCAGGGGGGCCCCATGACACAGGGCGGCCCAATAGTACAGAGCCATGTCTGGACGGATGGGTCTTCAGCACCGAGAGATACACCGCCACTATTGTGTCTGAGGTACATGTGCAAAACGGATAATTATGACAAAATAGCAATGTTGGAAGAAGTAGGCCTGGCCTACTCAGACCCTTTTCTTAAGTAACAGTAGAAATACTATGTCTTATTATTCTCCACTAAGTAAAAGTGCAGATTTCCAAAAGTATTGGCATCAAAGTGAACTAAAAGTACAAAAAGTAGTCGTTCTGCACAATGACCTATTTCAGAATGATACAAAAGTAAGTATTATCAGCTGATGGATATTTTCAAAGTATATTATCATGGTTATCCTGTTTTATCCATGTAAGAGCATTTAGATAAACTTTATTGATTTAACTTGTGTTACAGGATTGATTAGGCATTAAAATATTTCAAAATTGAATAAAGTATAGACATAATAACATATTTGTTTTACTTTGTCAATCAAGTATTGTGATTTGTCAATGTGGACCAAATGTAGATACTATAAATACTGTGTATACTAGTACAGTACTGCCTTATACCATCAGTATATCATTTAGGATAGGGGATGGACATTTTTCACTAATTTCTGAAATTGTATAGATTAATTATCTTAAGTTACAGGCCTTTCTGACAGTTTGAGGTCAGTTGAAACTTCCTTTTGCAATACTTTGTTAGCATTAGTTTATACGTTAGAATTGACTTCAATGTCAGATTTCTCTGAAATGTGTCTTGATGAAATCTGATGCTTTCTTTCGTTTATTACAGTGGGATCTGGTTTGTCACAATGCATGGATGGTTCCTTTTACCACCTCCTTATTCTTTGTAGGGGTCCTGATTGGATCATTTGTTAGTGGTCACTTCTCAGACCGGTAAGTCCTGTTCTGTAAGAAGAAGAATTGCAATTTTTTTAATATTTATATTGTCTCAGTGTAAAATGATCTTTCATTTCCATGTAACAAAACTAATTTAGTTTGCATGTTCTATCTGAACAACAGTCCATACCCACAGATATACAATTAGTTATTGTATATATTGTATATTATTATGTATCAGATAAAACAGCAAATCCTTGTTGAAAATGTTTAATCGTGAATCAATTATAAAGGTTATTGATTAATCTATTAAATTTAGATCTAATAATGCAAATCATTCTTTTTATTTTTGATTGATCTGTGTGTAAGCAGAAGAAAAAAAACAGACAGAATACCTGATGGACTGAGAGAAAGAGAAAGACAACAAAAGCTCTTCCAATAAGAATAAGTCAAACAGTGTGATAGTGTATACACTCACAGTTTGCATAGCGTTTAATTCCTGTTTCCGTGCTTTGTTGTCTCACAGGTTTGGCAGAAAGCCAGTGTTTTTCTTTACCTTGGCCCTACAAACCATCACTCCTCTGATACAGGCCACCTCCGTCAGCTGGCTCATGTTCTGTATCCTCAACTTTCTAAGAGGACTTGGCCAGATCTCCAATTACATTGCGTCACTCATTCTGGGTGAGACAGCAAAAGCACTTCTATCATTCAGATTCAGATTCAACTTTATTGTCGTGACATACTACAGGTACTAACGAAACAAAACGGATCATTCTCAAAGAGTCCCTGTCTCTGTCTCTTCTTCAATATCTGTCTGTGACAAGATGAGGCTTGCTTGTATACTTTTAGTTTTCCCATTTTAAGTTGCTCATTTTCTTGTGTAAATGTCGTTGAAGGAAGCATTAATTGATTATTCAGTAGGGAAGCAGACAGTCCTCACAGTTTCTTGTGAGAACATGTGTTTTCTCTCATCTTAATGCAATGCTCCGATGCTCAGGGTCTGAGATGCTGAGCCCGACTGCCAGGATGAGCTACGCTCTGCTCGGCCACAGTGTGGGGTTTGGTGTGGGATATGCATTGCTGCCGCTGTTTGCCTACCTTATCCGCGGCTGGAGGATGCTGCTGGTTGCTTCTGCCATCCCTGGCCTCCTATTTATACCAACATGGTGGTAAGTCTGATGAATGTTGGCTGATAAATATCATTGACAAACCGTATTTCTTGTGTCAATCACTTAAATTCACTTTATAACTTTCTTTTAACCCTGGACATATATAAAAGTAAACGTTTCATAAAAGGCCACATCAAAATAACTTGAAATATTTAGCCACTTTCAATGGTTTCTGCAAACAAATTAAACTCATTCATCAAAAGTTAGAATAAAAAAATGAAAATACAGAGAACCAGTTCTGCTTCTTTTTTTGGTAAGGCAAGGCAAGGCAAGGCAAGGCAAGGCAAGGCAAGGCAAGGCAAGGCAAGGCAAGGCAAGGCAAGGCAAGGCAAGGCAAGGCAAGGCAAGTTTATTTATATAGCACCTTTCAACACAAGGCAATTCAAAGTGCTTTTGAATTGTAAGTCTTTAAACCACTTGTCTCACACTTCGGATTGTTTAAATTATATGTGTTCTCTGCAATGTGTGATGTTTTGATTTCATTAAATATATTCCATGCCTTTCCAAATGAAATTAGATGGAATTTGCTATAAAATTGAAGTCTTTAATTGTTAAACTGTAGATGAATTACCTTTTCTCTGTCTGTGCAGGGTGATTCCTGAGTCTCCCCGCTGGCTTTTACAGAAAGGTCGAGTTGAGGAGGCTGAACTTATCATACGCGCTGCTGCCAAGAGGAACCAAGTCCAGGCTCCTGAGGTCATATTCAGGGCTGACGAGTGCTTGGAGCTGATGGTACTTATTCAATTTTTACTATTCATGCTATGGAAGCGATTGTGATCAAGCATAAATATGGCCAGAACGTTGACAAGCTTTACATTGCACTGTATGCAATGTCACTATTCAGCTTCTTTTATTTATGTCTAATTCAGCAAAACACAGGTGAAGAGAGGCAGACATACACTTATCTGGACCTGATACGAACCCCTAACATGAGGAACATTACAATTCTGAGTGTTCTCATATGGTAACGTGACTTAATTTCTACATTCATACATTTATTGAATATTAAATTATAAATAGTAAACAACTTTGAATTGTAAAAAGGAACTTGTTGTCAGCCTGAGCCAGGCACAATAAACAATGAAACACAGTTAAAGTAAAAGCACGTTTGAGATCCCTGTATTAATGTATGCAACATACTGCCTTTCACCTTAATTCAGACTTTTTGTTGTTGTTGTATTTCTGCAGGACTGCTACCTCCATGGTTTTCTATGGGCTCTCTCTCAATACTAGTAACCTAAATGGAAATGTCTACCTCACCTGCTTCATTTCAGCAGTCATTGACATTGTGGTGTATGTAGCCACTTGGATGCTGGTTAATCGTGTGCAACGGCCCACATTAATCTGCTCGGCAATGATGTTCTGTGGCATCATGCTCCTGGTTATCAAGCTAGTTCCCGAAGGTCTGTACACTCATAGTACAATATTGACTGAATCGGGCATCTCTGGAAATACTAAAAGACACATGCCTGTGTAAAATTGTATACGCTCTGTCTAATAACTTGTTTGTTTTTTCAGACATGCATGTCATGTTCCAGGTGTTAGCCTTAGTGGGAAAGGTTGGCGTGTCTTCTGCTTACTGCATCATCTTTGTGATCTTCACTGAGCTGATCCCCACTGTGGTCAGAAACATGGGCTTAGGGGTAGCATCCACAGCTGGACGCATAGGCACCATCATTTGTCCTTTTGTGATCTACATGGGCAAGTGTTTTTTATTCTGTTGTTGTATTTGTGTAGCTTACACAAGTATTCCTTAAGAAAATGGCAATACCCACTGTAGAAAACAGCATTGAATCGCCATATGATGTCTTGTGATACTGTATCGATTCTCAAACACTACCAATTTTTTATTAACCAATGGCTCAGTGTGTACAATCCTAAAGTGCTCTATAGTTTTCAGAAGTTGAAGAAATATAAACAAATGGCAATTAAAACATGTCCTTGACCTTCAGATGATGAGTACAAAAAGTAATTACAGACCCTGTTCACAAGGTTTACAGACATACGTACATGAGACTTTCAAACCCCACACGCCATGGCCTGTGCTATGAAGCAATTATAAATGTAATTCATTATACCGGTATGAAAAGTTAACTTACAATGGTTTAACAGGCATTTTCTCTTGAACACATTGTGCCTGCTGCAATAGTAAACACAAAGACAATGCTAATCACATTAAAACTGGTGTTGTGTCCAGTATAACCAAGTAGTAATGTAATGTAATGTAAAGTAGACCATGACAGTGCGATATATCGATGACCTGTGTTTTTATTCTTTTACAGGCGTGTACAGTAAGATCCTGCCATACATTGTTTTTGGCACAATCAGCATCATGGCTGCTGCTGTTAGCATGTTGCTGCCAGACACCAGAAATAGCAAACTTCCTGACCTCATCAGCCAGGCCAAACACATCAGAGGGTGAGTAGTTGTGTGTGAGGATATATGAATAGTGATGATGAACCCTAAATTAAGATACCTGACAGCAATTCTATGTGATATATATACATCAAAATATTGTGACTTTTGCATACCTTAATTGTTGAGAGCCGGTCTGGAGCTGTATTTAGTAAGAAATGTTGATGATTTTGAACAATAAGAGCTGCATCTTTTAGTCTGTGATAATGTGCTTCTAACAGTTTCATCTCTCTCTCTCTCTCTCTCTCTCTCTCTCTCTCTCTCTCTCTCTCTCTCTCTCTCTCTCTCATCTCTGCTCTCCTCTCTCTCTCTATTCTCCTCTCCTGCGTCTCTCTCTCTCTTCCTCTCTCTCTCTCTCTCTCTCTCTCTCTCCTCTCTCTCTCTCTCTCTCTCTCTCTCTCTCTCTCTCTCTCTCTCTCTCTCTCTCTCTCTCTCTCTCTCTCTCTCTATTCAAAGCTGCTGCTATAAAAAGGAAACAGCTACAACCCTGTCGGATCTGATGGCTGTAAAGTCATCATGAGCAAGAGCGCCCTCTGCCGGCAGAAAAGCACAAATCAAGAGTGGAGTGATGAGATAAAAATAAATGTTACACAAATATAGTTTCAAATGTATTTTTCTCATGCAAAAGTAAAACGTATGTTTTACTTGTGCGAGAGAACCTCTGAGGTCTTTTCATAAAAAGTATAGAATAACCAATTCTAGGTATTTGATTATCTTCTTGAAAATATGTGTAACAGTATTTATACATTAATTAAAAGGCTTGTATGGTTTCTTTATAAAAAACAGACTTTGAAATTCAACATTATTGTATTGTTTTTGTACACCACATGGGCGCACAACAAGATGAAACACGACATTTTTGTTGCTGGTCCATTTGAACCATTTTACTTTTATGATGCACTGCTACTGTTAAAATACATATTTGGTTTTAATTGATACAGTTTAATTTCACATGTTTCCAAATAGGCCAACACGTACTCAATGGGACATTTTCATTATTATTTCACCTGCTTATCTAGAGTGAATAAATTGTTAAAATACAAAAGCCACTTGTTAACTGAGCATTGAAACACCAACCTTCAAATGGGTGGACATTGAGGCTTTCCTCTGAGACACAGCTGCAGACTACAGAGTAAGTGGGGAGATTTCTTGAAGGTGTTCAAAATGTCTAGCTTCTCACCCGTTTTGTATCACAGCAGGGGATTCATCGCCATATTACCAACCAATCAAAGCAGGTAACTTCGCCTGGGATCCAGACCTGAAAAGCACCTGGTTTACTGAACGTCAATAGGTTTTGGTAATATGATACTACATTTCAAAATTGATAGAGAATTTGCAAAACGTATGTTCATACTGTACATTGGGCGTACATGTGGCATTTTACATCCGCTTCAGAGGGTCCTCCTGTGTCGACAATACAGCACTGTTTTACTGAGAGCAGGGGCCCAACAGTAACAATCACAAATATACTATAATAAATGTTTGGAAAAAACATAACCCAAATTGGTATTGTGTGTGTTTTAAAAACATAAATGTGGAGATAGCAACCACACAGCTGATTGTCAACGTCTAAAGTATCGCGAGATTTACTCCACGGTTGTTGGTGATGCTGCTGGGCTCTTGTACTGCGACTGTAAATGTCTAAAGTATCGCGAGACTTGATCCACGGTTGGTGCGGATGCTGCTGGGTTCCTGTACTGCGACGCGCCCCCATCTCTGCTGCTGATACCACAGTGTCTGTCCTTCTACAGCGACCACACACCTGCAAACGGAAAAAGGGTCAAGGATAAATTAACTAGCACTACAGCCACATTAAGGCTGGTGGTTTAACAACTGAATGTGGACACGACGCTAGCACAACGTTTGTAAAACAAAGTTGCGCTAAATGTCAAGCTAACTTACTAGCTATCAGAGGAAGTTAGCAAGCTAGCTAACGTGATTTGCTGCTAGTGATGGTCTTCTCTTTAAAACCTTATGTTGTAGCTAGTTCATCATAGAATAATTTACAAGTCACGCATTGCAGCGCAGGGGCTATGCTAGTTATCGTGCTAACCAGTGTAAAAACCGATACATAATTTAAAACAACTGCTATCTTACAGCTAACGTTAACTCAAAGTGAATGAGAGAGGGATAATTTAAGCACAGATTGAAGCCAATCACGTCTAAAATGTTGAATCTGTTATTTTAGTTAAGATCATATTGACTAGGTTAACCGTCCCTTTATACTGACAGAATATCGATAGTAGCATCTACAAGATTACAACTGTTTAAGACCGATTATAACCGTTTAAGAAAGATCCACAAGTGAGAATGGCTCCAAAAAAGAGACCATTGCCCTTAACCATTGCTCCTGCTGGCGGTGGGTTATCCACCTCCCCCAACACTGATGTTCCACCTGAGTAAGTCATTCTCCTGATCACATTAATATCCTTACATATAGTGTATGACAACATATTTCAGTCATTTGTGCCGTCTGAAATATGTTTTTTTGGTGTGTATTGTTTTGCGCAGGGCCAATTTAGTGGCACTGAAAAGAATATTGGAGGAGTTGGACCTAGATGACCAACAGAAGAAGAGGTTGGAAGCTTTCCTCACCCTGAAGGCCAAGGTGGGCGAGTTGAGAGATGACGACTTCCAACGTGTCTGTGAGCTGGGGGCAGGCAATGGAGGAGTCGTCAATAAGGAATGCCACAAGTCTTCAGGCATAATCATGGCCAGAAAGGTGAGCTGCAAATGACACTATTCAATTATATGAATAATACAACTGTTATTTCCGTTGCTGTTCAAACTCGTGTATTAAACCTGGTCATTTGACTTGGTAAATACTTTACTGGTGGTCATACTAAATAACACTTTTTTTATACAACTTTTCTATTTTCTGTTCAGCTCATACATCTTGAAATCAAACCGGCAATCAGAAACCAGATCATCCGAGAGCTGCAGGTGCTGCATGAGTGTAACTCTCCCTACATTGTGGGCTTCTATGGATCATTTTACAACGATGGAGAGATCAGCATCTGCATGGAACACATGGTGAGAGTTATACATTTTTTTCTTATATACTCATACCAATGACTGGTACAGAAAGCCTTTAACTGACTAGGGTCCAAGTTTCAATTTGTGCTTATTTCTTGCTAATTTTATAGGATTTTAAATTGAATTAAGAAAAACACAACAAAACAAACTAGATTCTCTATGGCCTCCTATTAGGCGGCTGCATAGATGAAAAATGAAAACCATTACCCCCAAAAAATTGCAACAAAAGGTTTCTTAACAGTTTTGTATAGTATTAGGTGTCCCTAGTAACTTACTAAAAGTCTACCAAAATCTGACCACTAGAAATGTGTAGTTTTCAAGATGGCGTCCAAGATGGCTGAAAATTACTTAAAATACCCTGACTCCTTCATAATTTATTCTAGACAAGTAATTTTGTTGGATAAACTTATGTTTTGATAAACTTATATGTACATTTGTCAGTCCAATGCTTAAGAAAATATTAAACAATGAATAAAGTAAACGTAAAATACATTTAGTAATCTGAATTGTTGTGATTTGGAGTGCCTACAGTTTCCGATTTCAGTCAAACATCAAACAAAGTGAACAACAAATGACATCAATAGCCAGTTAACATTGCTAACCACGTTCTGTTGCCCTGACTCTGCTACTGGCACGAACGCAGCACTGCTCCCCGGCAGAAACCCCCCCCAGCAACTGCAAAATGATAACATGGTCATTTCAATTGCGTGTAGTTGGAGTATGGTAAAATATTTTATTATCATGATCTAAAACAACACACACTAAATGTACTCTCTGTACAATATAATAAGCAAAAAATATGCTTGAACTCCATTTGAGACAGGTTGTGCTTTTAGCGATATATAAATTACGACCTGTTGTGCTCTTTGTTTCATTGTGCAGGATGGTGGATCTCTTGACCAGGTGCTGAAAGAAGCAAAGAGGATCCCTGAAGAAATTCTGGGAAAAGTCAGCATTGCTGTAAGTTGATGGTTATCTTCCATCTTGTAATATTACGTGCAATTACATTATTGGCATCAATGAAAATAGGGTTTGGCAGTAAGACGGTAGACACCGTGCAACAGTAAAAATGTGTCCACCGGTAAAGATTTGGCAATACCATTTCCATGTATTGAACTCAAAAGAAGTTGTGGTCTAAATACACATACACGATGGGCCTGCGTGAGTTATATGCTCATTTTATAACTGTTGTTTTTACATTAAGGTTTTAAGCAATTATTGACTTGTATAATTTCTCCTCTTTTTGAAACAGGTTTTGAGAGGCCTTGTGTACCTGAGAGAAAAACATCAAATCATGCATAGAGGTACTTATTTGTTCAAGCTGTTGAACACTTATTTTGTTTATCTCTAAGGCATAAAATCTGGATCCTAATGTTAAAACTACAGCTTTAGAGTGTACAATGGTTGGTACAACATAGAACATACTGTATCCTTTGACCCCCAGATGTGAAGCCTTCAAACATACTGGTGAACTCGCGTGGGGAAATCAAGTTGTGTGACTTTGGTGTCAGCGGGCAGCTCATCGACTCTATGGCCAATTCCTTCGTTGGAACAAGGTCCTACATGTCGGTATGTTTGTCCTTTAGTTCCTCCACATCACTGTGTTGCATTTGTCTCTAACCTTTTTCAGTTTTTTTGTAATAGTTTCTCACTTTTATAGTTTTTTTTTATAGTTACTCACAAATGTTTCCATTCTTCATTGAACTATGTGGACCAGTTAAATCCATTCAAAATGATTAACCAATTCCTTTCACCAATCGCAGCCAAATCCTTTCATATTAGTTAATGCTGGAACAGGGAGCTATCATTTCTAATATTTGTTGATTTTATATTTAATGAATTCTTCTGTTTTTATCTTTTGTTTATGTTTACTCTCTAGCCTGAGAGATTGCAGGGAACCCACTATTCTGTGCAGTCAGATGTGTGGAGCATGGGGCTGTCCCTTGTGGAGATGTCAATCGGACGCTTCCCCATCCCTCCTCCTGATGCTAAAGAACTGGAGGCCTTGTTTGGACGTCCCATCTCGGGTGGTGGTGGAACAGAGACCCTCAGCACTTCACCCAGACCTAGACCACCGGGTCGACCTGTCAGTGGTGAGCAGCACACACTATTGGACCATTTTGTTTAATGGAAATTAGGGATGGGAACGATTAATCGAATATTTGAAATTATTCAGGTTTTCGAATAATTATTCAGGTATTCGAATATGAGTTATGAATATTTTTTTTATTTTTTTATTTTTTTGGGAGGGATGCCTGCCTAAGTTGATTACATATCATCAAATTGAATAATTAAATGTATACGACAGTGCCATAGCTAAATGTGTTAGGTGACGTCTAAAGGTGTGTTTTGCTCCGCTCACCGGTCCCTCACAGCGGGCAGAGCTGCAGGTGCTGATCTCTCTCTCTCGCGTCCGGTACTTCACTCGCGTTTATGTCCAAATCCATCAGATCTAGCTAGTTATAGCTAATGATATGGCTGCTGCCCCTCCCTACACGCAAATCACGCAGACTCAAACCTCATCTTATGCCCAAATGCGGCGCAAATGCGCTCCGCAGCCGTTGCGAGGTTCCGGCGCTAACAGTTCATGAGCGTGCTCCCCCGCCCCCTGTCAACACTCGCGACACATGAGTGGCCAGCCTAAACAACAATAAGCGCTGCTTGGCAACCGTGTGTGGCGGCAAAGTACATAGACATTTTGACAGGAGAGATTTAGTTTTGCCGGTATTCAACATATTTTACCAGTCATAGTCCGGTAATTATTTACACTCTAAGAAGTGTCCTACACAACAGACATGGCGTCAAAAAGGAGTAATGTGTGGAAATATTTCGACCAGGTTAGTGAGTGCGGTGTGGAGTGCAAACTATGCCAAATTAAACTTATATATATATATATATATATATATATATACATACTATACCTTGCTATACCCGCAACCTCCGTTCCAGCTGAGAGGGTCTTCTCTACAGCTGGCCTGATTGTGAATCGCCTCCACACATGAAAGCTGTAGGCCTATAGCTGTCAAACTGTGATCACCAGTTCAATACATTTGACAAATTCGACTTGGTTTCTATACTTATTTGAACATGTATTTATTTATTTCCAAAAGTTATTGAACATTTTTTTTAGAAAAAAAGTTAGACGTTTTTTGGGGGGTCGAATATTCGAATATACATTTGCTTTCAAATTCCCATCCCTAATGGAAATCTTTAACTACAAATGTAACTTTGCATTCCTGCACCTCTAAGATGCAGCATGTCAAATAATAAAACCTGAAGTGAAATTGCACACTTAGATATACTCATACCGTGGAAGGAGTTTTCCAAAATCTTCTTTTTCATTGTCCTAAAACATCGTCAGGGCCCCACCCCTCTACATAAGGTAGAAAAAGCTACATTTAAAAGAAAAATACCTGTGTGCCTGTGGACTAGATGATATAGCGTATTCAATTAAAGTATTTCTTAATATGTTGACTTTAAAACACAGTTTACCTGCGCTTCTTTTATAGGTCATGGCCCTGCGATGGCCATCTTTGAACTACTGGACTACATAGTAAATGAGGTAAGAATCTAAGTCTGTAAACAACAACAAAAAGCCCATAAGGGTTTACTGTCTTCCCTGCAAAATCGGGTTGGTGATATGAAAGATGTTCTTACGACTTTCTTCTGTATTTCAGCCTCCTCCCAAACTACCACATGGCGTCTTCACCTCAGATTTCCAGGACTTTGTGACAAAGTGGTAAGTATTTAAGCTTGTAAACTTTGTTTGGTTCTTTTTACACACGCATCTTCTTTTTCTATTCTTCGATGGAAAGTTCTGTTTAAAAGATCCCTCTCTCCTCTTTCATTTTCAGTCTCATCAAAAATCCAGCAGAAAGGGCTGACTTGAAAATGCTGATGGTGAGTATCCTCAGTTATACTAAAGCTTAAGTCTGAATTTAAGTTCCTGCTTATATCTTTGAACATGTGTAACATCTGACAGATTACAAACTGTAGTTAGCTTTGTTACATGTTGTTAATGCAAGCATTATATTAATTCAAACTTCAGCAGAGTATTTTGTTCTTTTATATGATTGTGGTTTTAATATACAGCATCTTTTTTTGTTGCAGAACCATATGTTTATCAAGCGATCCGAGGTGGAGGAGGTAGACTTTGCGGGCTGGCTTTGTAAAACCATGGGGCTAAACCAACCTAGCACTCCCACACGCACTGCAGACTGAACACGAACACGATATGTACATCTAGAACATGGAGAAGCTGATGCCTATACCCTTACACCTATACACATACAGTATACACACACACACACACTGTTTGCCACGTCCTTTCTCAGGTGGACCTCCGTCTATCACAGGAGCTCTACTAAAATGTAAGACAGAAAGATACAGGCTCTACAGCACTAGGGTTTCCAATCATGGCAGGTAAATACATAAATGAATGTGTTTTTTTATGTCACATTGTATAATCATTTGTTTATTTTTCTTAAGAGGTTAGGTGTGTCTGTGTGGGCAAGTGATGAGTGAAGCTAGGATGTTTTTTTTTTGTTGCATTTCGTGATGCGAGTGATTTCTACAAATTCTAAGATGCCAAGTAAAGGTACAACTTTCAATGCACTCTCTTTTTTTCCTCTGTCAGAGTTGTTAACGTAAGCAGCATTATGAGCATGTTGTGGTACCATTAGATACATATTTCCAACAACTGGCTTTAAGATTAGTAGACATTCATCACTGGACAGTACAAAAACAAAGCTGCATATCCATTCTCAGCTGAAACAACTGATTATTTCTTTGTGGTTGCTGTAATGTTAACAGGACATGGATTTGCCATTGAAGTGCATCCTGTGTTGTGGCAGGATTGGGGCATTTCGCTCCTTTGTGTTCTTCTATTTGTGTACTTCCTCCTTTAAATCTAAAGATATAGATGTTTTTCATGGTAAAATCATCACAAGATTTGTCTTTATAATTTGTCGGAAACTGTCAATAAATAGTATGTATTGTAACATGTCTTCATAAACCAGACTATCGCTTCACTGTTTTACACTTTTTTCACCAGAAGGGGGAAGCACTCGGGTGCAAAGCACTGAGGACTTCTGGTGGTATTACTAACAAAATGACTGTACGCTTCCAAACAGAAATATCAAAAATATGCTGTACTGTGTGTGGTGTATCGTACATCGTATACATTACTCATGCTTATGCTGACTACAACGACCGCGGACCGTGAATCAAAGCCCTGCTGAAAAACATTAGTCCTCTATTGAAATTAGAAGCACAATGATTCATCTGTTTGGCTCATGTCTAGAGTGATAATGAAATGTCTTCACTTAAATATCTGTCAACTTCAGCTGAAAATATGAGGCCTTGCGCTCAGAGAAAGACGTAGTGTTGCAGTGTTTGTTGGGTGGCTAAGTCTGAGCAGTGTTGATGGGAGGGGGACTACTGCAGCAGAAAAACAGCAAAGTCTGCAGTCATTAATATGCAAATATGCAAATGAGAGGGTAATTAAGATTGGGCGTTTGTCAGTGGCTCTTTGATTGCTAATGCATTCAAATCTGCAAGGAAGGGGGAGGGGATGATGAGCTAAAAACGAGGAAAAAGAACAGATTGCTATTGTACATTTTCTTGCAAAAAAGGAGAAAGTGAGTGAGTTGTGTATAGAATGTACACACCCTATTGAATAGAAGAAAAGCCGAATATTGATGATTCGAGACATGCGTCACATTTTTTTTTTTAAATGACAACTTCTACCAAAAACGGATACAAAAAAGAATTGTACGTATGAAAAAAGGAACTACGGTTAAATGGCGGAGCACCAACAGAAGCCCCGGTGAAAGAGAGGGGAAAAAGGGACTGAGTTTGTGCCAAGACAATTATCCATGTACACCATCACTGAGCATTCAGCATGGCAGGATAGATCCGCCACAGGAAGAAAGAGAGATTTCTGCTCATTAAGAGTGATGTGGCTGACCCCTATAGAGAGAGATGCTCAGGTATCTTGGCAGGGGGTGTGCAGTGGCCGCATGTTGTCTGTCACAAAACACTGTTATTTTCATATTTCTGGCGAACGAGGGGCCTACAGTTCACACATGAGCACCCACTGCTGTTAGCGCTGTTTCAGTAGTCCCTTGACACTTGTACATCTTCCTCTCTGGCATGTGAAATGAGAATATGTGTACAAGGAATAAAAACAAATTAAATGTTGTGAAAAATGGGGTAAAAACAGCTGCTCTTGTCACCTTATAGCATAATAACTTTCTCACAACAATGCAGCAGCCTTGTATATTTCAAAGTGCTAAATACCACACTAATGTCACCGCCCAGTCAAAAACACACTAAACTATTAGATTGAGTCTTGTTGGGAATAATCTAAAAAGGAAAAGCATGACATTGATCAGTTTGGTATTTAGGATTTTAAAATGAATTCTCAAATACTTGGGCAAGGATCATGCATACAAACACTTCAACTGATTTATTTGAAATGGGGTGTTCGAAGCTTATCCCAAGCCTTTTCTGTTTGATATGCAATTGAATGAGTGTGTTTGCATGTGTGTGTCAGAGAGGGGGCTGTATTTTTCACACAGGAAACAGGAAACCAGAAGTCATAACAGGATGCCCCAGGTTTTCATACTGTACCTGATGCGTGGGTGGCTTCATGGGGGTAACCCATTTAAAGAGCTATGGTGCTTGAATAGAAGAGGTAGCCCAGGAAAGAGTGGGTGTAGAGGAGGGTACACACTTGGGGGTTAGGAAAATGGAGTTCCACTCTAAATATAGCTTTTTTTGTGTTGTGCGCCCTGTTGTACAACCTTAATGTCTGTTTGCCTCCGCGCCGTTTGGCCTACTTTTTAAAAGGCAACAAACCAAACATTGTTTGATGTTTGGTGTAGAGCTGCGATATCATCACTTCCATGGCAAATACATGCACCATCTTTCCCCAGGTGTACTGTTGGAGCTTCTCAAGTGAATCTGTGACATGGAACCTGTTTTGTCATAATGAGGTTGATCTGCTCACACAGACTGAATACTCCTTACCATGTTGAAAAAATATAGAGCTGAGTTGTGCCCTCATCGCATTTAGCTGATTCTGTCTTTAACCATGCTATTCTAAGCATGCATTGCTTGTTCTTGTTCCTAAGTCAAATATACTGTTGTACATTTTTAAACGTTTTTCAGACCTAAAAGAATAAGTTAGTAACCAGTCGTTAGTCCCACTTTTAATGACATACAGGTGTGTGCTTGAGTTGCATGTGTGCAAAGCAGGCTGAGCATATGTGTGTGTGAGAGTGTGTGTGTGCATGTTTGCGGACCACAAAGTGGATGGCTGAGTTTTCTCGTAAAGGCCGGCACAGATGTTATTTAGGTTGTTTCCCCTCAAACCAGTTGAGGTTTTCTTTAGAAAGTCTCAAAACAACCGCTGACATTAACTGCAGCGTTGTTTACATAACCACCAAGGTAGAGCTCATGAGAAAAACAGCAGCCAGGCCATCTTGTGACGTGAGTTGATGCTGGTTCATGTAAACTCTTTTGATTACAGCTCAACAAAAGGAAGTGGCTGTACAATTACTTTTTTCTGCCACTTTCTCTCTTGCACACAGATGAAAAGACACACTCATGGGTTCCCACATGTTGCATTCCTTTTCTGACTGCACATGTTTTTGTTTCCCCCCTAGGTTTTAAACTTAATCAAAGTTCAATCTAATGGACACATTTTCACTATGTAATTATATATTGAAGCATTCCTAATTATGAATACAGTATTGGCCATTGTGATGGCTAAAAATACTTCTCAGGAATGTAGTCTATTCATAACATTAAGTAACTTCATATAGTATAAGTGTCTCCTCAATCACAGTCCTACATTTGTACTATTTAACAAAAAAAGGAAATTAAATTACATCGTGATGGTTTATGTTTCAAGATCATTCATATTATAATGTATATATTCAGTTGTGGCATTTATTTATACCAAGGTCATCCCATAATCTAATGTTTTTGGGCATGAATTAAGAAAATATATCCAATTGCAATCCACCCAATGAGAAACTTTATTACGATTTTATCCAGTATAGTGGAGCAGCGTATACACTCATCTCACAAACACAATATTTGTAGCGCAGAGCTTGGGAACAAAATTTAAAAAAGAAAGAAATCCGTAAGCTAAATAAGACAGCCCTAAAGGTCGACGATGGAATATATGTGGGTCTCTAACTTGCCAATCATTTTTTCGTTGTATCCAATTGGCCCTCCCTCTCATATTATCATTCCATCTTCCACTAGTCTAGGCTGTTTGGCTTTCCGCTGTCTTCATCCGCCAGTCAATATAGATCCCGCGAATTGATACTCCGATGCTTTTGCGTCGTGTTTACAGCCATAAAACAGTGACATTTTGCATTTTGAACAAAATCAACGCGTCTTTACACAGGTTCTCGAAACCTGCTTCGTTTTAACCAAGATTGGACATCGCTGATGTTTCAGCGTCCATGTCCCCCCGTAGGCTGTGCTGCGGAGTGATATTCACTTCATTGGAACCGACAATGTGGAGGCTGTTAAAATGTCTACTTGGAAAATGAAATGGTTACATTTGCTCTTACAATAAGGAAACGGAGCCGTTTAAGAGTTATGGTTCGTGTTAAAAACGTGTTTTTAGTTTCGTGACGAAGACGTCAACCAGACGAGGCGACGGAGGAGTGGTTCATATTGTCTTTCTTCATTTTCATCAAGCCCACAGTCCGGACCACGGGGGGAAGGATCCTATCCCTAACTTTGTTTTTCTCTCTACTGCGGCCGTCGATTTCTCCCTGTTGGATGCCATATAACTGTCCAGGTAAATACATCGACACATACACATTCACAACAAACATATGCACGTCAAACAGTAGTCGTGTGTCACGTTGTTACCGGAGTAATAATCAAGTTTTAAGCGCATCGTTAAGTTGTAACCGAGTGGCACAGCCAGGAAGAGCGGGGTCTTGGATTTTCGTCCCTCCGGCCTTAGTGAGCTGTTATTACTATAACGAGTATTAGCCTGTGTGTGTGATGGATTTCTTTGTTCACTTCAGTGGGTCATAATGTTACAGCACTTTAGCATATTGCTTCACCGAGTTAGCTAGCCCCCCTATGATTTTACTGTGTTTGGTACCCGTATGTCGGTTTTCTAGAAACAAACGCACGAGCGTTAGCCGTTAAAGTAGACGTTGGTCGGTTTAAGCTAACGGTACAACATTCCTGGTTGAAGCTAAAATGGCTATCTCTTCCACCTGGTATCAAGATGTGTGCCTGTTTCAAAAGTATAGCACTGTAATCATAAACGTACAACACTAAATTGTGGAATTAAAATACAATTTTTGTTGAAAGTATAACTATTATTTTTTACCACCACCCTCCAAACAAACCACCATTATAACAAGCAACCAGAATGAGGCTTTATACTTTTTTATTTTATCTTGAGTAATACAAAACACGTTTCGGTCAGTTATTTCAGGGCACTTTTGACGTTTATACTAATTTTGTTGCGTTTTGACCGTTTTACTGAAACTTTGGTGGCCCGAGTCTTTGTGTTCATTAGTGCCCCATTCTCCTGCTCGACGTGAGGAGCAGGCAACAGGTTTTCAAGGCCCTTTTTAAACGTCCCGCAGGGTTTTAAACCCTACACTGAGCCATGCAACAATATGTTGTAGATAGCAGACCATCTTTTATTTGTCGCCAGGTATGAGGTGTTGTGTGGGTATTTGTGCCTTAAACTTTTCTCCAAATGGGAAGGCCGGAGGTGGGGGTGCTCAAGACAAGCGTATGCAACTTCCATTTGTTAGGAGGGGCTAAACACTTATCCCCCATTTTGACCTCAGCTCAGTGAGAGGCAGAAACGACTAGATTAAGTGGTGCTGAAGTTTTTTGGCTTATTGTCTGGTGTAAAAACACATTTTTCGGTAGTCACTCTTTAAAACATTGGTTATTTGCAACATTAATTACATTGCTTTGTTCTTGTGTTTCCCCCAGTTAATCTGGTGGTTGCATCCTTTAATGCCTTCAGAATCCCATGCAGATGTAGTTTCAACAAATGGTTGACTTTTGGTGTTGTCACGGTATTACTCTCTGTAAACAAAGTTGTGGCATTACTGACTATGCTTACAACATTGAAGTTGGATACACTTTAATGTGATGGGTAAGTAGTTGCTATGAACAGCTCAAATTACTGAAACTAATCACCTTTTCTGTTTCCAGTTGTGCTATTTTAGACTAAAAGTGAATCTTTAGTCATGCAGTGAAAACGATACTGAGTTATTCAAGTGTTAGAAGTGAAATTGTCTCCGATTACAACTGACTTTAGGTCATGACTCAAAAAATCTTAATCTCCCACTTTGTTTTTACAATAATTACTGCTTGTAGGTGTATTTGTTATTTTGGCTTTTGTTCCCTTTCTTTCTTGAAGTCACTTAAAACGTTTTAGTATATTTAGATATAAACACTGTAAAATTACAAAGCAAAAATAATTGCAACAAACCTGCATTAGCTTAAAGTATCAGTGGCCAACATTAACTGAGATAAACTTTATTGTATTTTTGCTTGACAGCTTCAGAGACTGTGCAGCCACAAAAGTGAACTCTGAATTGAATCAACACCTCTAAGTACAAACAAAATCACAACATTATGATTTCCCACAGCTGGTATTTACTGCAGAGCTTTTGTTTTGCAAATTGTCTCTGCTGGTTTGCCCACCTCATGCAGAAATGAAAGCAACTAATTTAGATGTTTTACACAAATGGGCAGAATTGGCTGTTGATACAGGTTGTTTATACAGCACATATCCTATGTGAGTCTTTGGTTGTGTATTAGCTTACTCGGTGTTTCAAAAGAAGTGTTAGAACAGTTTGGTTTTTGATGTAAGTGAAGTCCAGGGCCTGACTAACATCGAGTGCAGTGTGGCTTGTGGCTGAACCATGTTCACCTATCTGTGGTCTGCAGGGAAATTCTAGTATTGACTTGTCAGTACTTCTTCAGTAGATTGATGGTCCAGGGTAACATGCTAATATGAACTATATTTTACATTGTAGGCATGTTTACTGAAGGCTGAACAATGTTTATTTATTTTGTTATGTATGTCAGCCCTCCCATAATGTAATTTAAGTGATATTTCCTTTCGACCAGAGTAAATGCTTTTGAGTCATCGGCCTGAATCATCATCCTCTTTGTAATGGTGGGGGAAATATAACCAATATTACAATGACATTGGTATGCAAGTCTAGACATTTTTTTGAGTTGTAATTAATGTTATCTAAAGTAAGATTAGTTGTGACAACATTGTATTTACCAGGGTTCTATTTTTGAGATATGGGAACACAACAGCACCACTATACAACACTTTAAAATGTAAAAGGCAAGAACTCAGGCACTCAGACATGTTAAAACAAGTCTCCAGTTTAACTATATTTTCTGAACCACTTACTTTTAAGTGAAAAGGAAGACACCTCTAATGTCCAGTTGCCCATGGCATTATGTAACCACCTCTATCATTAACACAGGAACAAAACAATGAAAACAAGACCCAATTTGTAAAACAAATGGAAACATATCAGCAAGTATTTCAGTCTCTTATACCTTTAGTGGATTGTTCCAGGTAAGTGGAAAAACAGTGAATCCATCAAACTGCTTGGATATACAGCCACATTTATTTCCAAATCTATATCCCCCTTCCTTTTTTTTAGATTATATTTTGGAGAAAGCTTCAGTAGTCACAATATTGTGGTAATACTTGACTTTGGTAATATCTAGCTTTACTTCTGCAGGAATATAAATCATCTTACCGACAGGGAAAAATATACTAATATTCTCCTTCGGTCTGCTTGTAGTTGCTTGCTGAGACTGAAACGGCCAAGTGAACAGCGGCAGAGAATGGCTGCAGTGGAAACAGACAAGGAGCTCAACGACTTGCTGGATTTTAGCGCGGTAAGATCTATCTGAAGATTGCTTGACTTAAATGTGCATCCTTTACAGTTTATTCTCTGCTTAAAGACACACTACTTTAAATGTAGTATGTTGATATGTGACTGAGTGTCAGGAACTCAATAAATGGGCCGGTTGGTCACTGTTTGAAGCTTGGCAGTGTATATGTTACTCATCTTTTTTTTAACAAGACTGTTGTTTTTGTGTCACTTACATGTTAGCAGTCACTCAAAGCTGGAATGTGTAGATATATTCATGACCATTGTAGCTGGATGACAAGGATAGGGTCATTTGAATTAGCACCTAATCAACCTTTTGCACATGTGGAGAGGAAACAACTCAGCAAAGTCATAGATGGACTACAGCTTACAGTTTAATGTCTCTCTTTTCAGATGTTTGAGCCTCCAGTATCAAACGGGAAGAACCGTCCAACTACTCTCGCCAGCAGTCAGTTTGGAGGTTCAGGTAAGAAAACATGATTATTTCCTTGTTTTCGTTCATTTTTCTTTCTGATTTACTTTATTTGTTTGCCTCCCAAATAAATGAAATGGTCTATTCTTCTGGATTTTCTTCTCTTGATTAAAAAAAGAAAGAAATGTCAGTAAATGTTATGACAGACAAGTAGAAATAAGACAAAATGCTTTATTGTATTTTCATGTTAAACACATTGAAATGTAGTATTATATTTTCTTTCTTTCTCTTAATTTCTCTCATTAAATGCTTGAGATGTTTCTTATTGTTTCTGTAGTACAACTATTGTAATTTCACTTCTCCCTCCCACATTCATTCATGGTGTTTTGAATGGTAATAGAAAAGGAGATAGTTCCTGTTCTCCACTTCTTGAAATCTGTTTGAGATCACAGATTATTGGAAGCAACCACAGGAAAGATTGCCAGGTTATTTTATGTTATGTCGATCAGGCGTCATCTCCTCAACACTTCCTCATCCTCGCCTTGCAGGTGTCCCTTCCCTCACCTTCTCAGCTGTTGCCATTCAATCACTTAATGACAAAGGCAGAGGGTGGGGGTTGATAGGAATAGCCCAATTAATCTCCTCTGCTAATTCCGTGACTAAAGTGTTTCCCTGATCCTGCAATCTTTCACCCTATTTCTTTCTTTTCACACAACTTATTTTTACCTACAGCCATTATCCATACATATAATCAGCCTAGACCTTAAGTCAGCTTCGAGACATTCACAGCATTTTACTTTTTTGTATTGCTCTCATACACAATAAGGGGTTTGATAAAAAAAGGCCTACCTTTCCATCTTAATTCCCACTGTAGCAGATCCACTTGCCCTACATGAAACTTTCTGTTATCTTCGAATCTCTGGAAGTGCAGTAGGTCTTACGGCTGGCAAAACAAATGAAACCGGATATTGAAGCTGAGATGAAAGACAAGACAAGCAGAGGCTGGGAGGGGTAAAGGGGGCTCTGTTTCTTCTATTCACTTGAGGGCCACTTACATGTTCCTTTTGTTTTTTAGCAAGGTGTGTGCTTACAAAAGAGAGCTGTGATGTTATCAACCCAACGGCTGCTCGTGGCATTCTCCCTCTGCCTTATAAATGTAATCCACACAAAATATATCCTTTTAGTATCAAACATTCACCATTGTTAGGTTTTGGTAAAAAAATGTAGTTTGCACCTACTGTGGTCCGCTAAGATATATGTCATTTACAGAGGATTTGCATAGAGACAAGTTCACGGCATTAAACAAGTTCTATAGAAGGACCATGGAAACGTTAGCGACCCTCTATAGCTTACAATATTAGCCAAAAAGCAATTAGCTTATCACAAAGATCTGAAGCAGGGTTAACGGCTAGCTTGGCTATTTCCCCCCCAAAAAGTAAAAAATTACGCCAACATGTCTATAGATTACTTGTTCAATTTAGTGTTATCCTGTTTAAGCTCTTTACAAAACAGGAGCTTTGGCACAGGGAAAGGTCAGCGCACTGCTGCGGGATATTCGCGTCGCATAATTGGCAAAAATAATAAATGAAAGGAAAATGCACCTCGGTGTACAATCCATGCCTGTCTATAAGTATTACAGTAGGTTTCTTCTGGTTACTCAAACATGTGCTATCATATCATTAGTTTCAAAGAACCTGACTTGGTCAAACTGTATCCCTGTTTTTTTCTGTGGAGCAGCTGCCACGTGTTTTCCTTAAAGAGTCTGTTAGATGCCTTTTTCCACCAGTATGGTTTAGGTTTGGGATATGTTGAGGTTTAACATGTGTGGCTATGAGGAACCTCCCTTTCTGAGCCTCAGTGATAATATCTCTGCACTGCTCCCTGCTCAATCCCTTTCACTTGTAAGTTAAAGTCAATTCAGCGCACTTTCATTTTTTGCTCTCTGGAAACTGAGAATCCTTCAATGTATTTTTAAACCTAGGTATGGGCTCAAATGCAGAAGGGGAAGAGTTTAGAATTTGCATGAAATGTTCCAACAGATGTGTTGGTGAAGAACAAGAACTGATGGATGTTTCATTCATAAGTAGATTTGCAATTGGAACTTCTTGCACATATGACCATTGAAATGTATATCATTTCATAGTGTGTCAGAATTAGGACTTATAAGAAATATAAATTTCATTTATACATTTCAATTGAGTTAATGCACACAGTTTGAGAAGTCTCTGGTGACTCACAGGTTAAAAAAGCTAGGCCTGTGTTATTGTACATTGTTCAGTATTTCGTTAACATTGTTCACTCTCTTGAGATTTGACCTGACATCATGCTTTGTGTCTGCGTGACTCACTTTGCCAAGGGAAGGAAGAAGGTGTAGACAAAACGGCACACTCAGTTATAGGTGCCTGGGGCAGTGTTCGTTAAAAAGCCAAGACTTGTCTGCAAGTTTGGTCAATGTATGAGCTGGAGTTTTGCTCATGAAGCTTATGACTCAGGCTGGCAGTCTGTTTCCAGTATCTCTTCCTGTGTAATTATAGACTAGCCATGCTAAAAGGGGCGTTGCATGCTGGGAGGAGAAGTGCATTGGGGTTCACCAGAGAATTTGTCTGATGTTACTCACACTTTTCTATGGTTTTCTCTCTCCAGTCCTGGTAGGCTGTCTGAGTAGTGCACTACTCATGGTTTTCTCATTGTTCAGGGACTTATGGTGTCGCTAATGGAAATCATAAAATGTCACAGGAATCTCAGGGGGGGAAAAGCAACATGTTACAAACCGTAAAAAAATAAATATTAAAGCATAAATGAAACGGCATTTTTCTGAATCAAGGAAACTTTCCTAAAGAAAGTGGGGAACAGGAAACCAACGTATCCAACCCCAGTTGTGACAAAAATCATATTTAAAAAAACAAATGTCATCGTTGAAGCAAAAAGGGTAGATGTGTTCAAGCTTTTTTTTTTCTAGTCTTAGATTAGATTTGATTAAGACCCAAGATAGAGATGTTGATACTATTGGTAGTATAGTATTCGATCTTTAAGCAGAGTATGTAAACATATTTACCCATCCACACAGATTTAAAAGCAAGGCTCAAGAAAACCCCTTCCCTGCTTCTTTTTTTTGGGAAACCTTTATAACACATACTAAATTACCAAAACAAGTAAGCCATGGCCTTTTCATATATTTTCCCACATGAGTACTTTTATAGACACCTGTGTAAACCTAGCTGGTGTCCCCTGTATTGATCACGTGATACAGCTTAGCCACAGATAGCTACATTGCGTGGCTCTTTTCTTTAGATAACGGTTTCAATGGGGTCTTTAAAGTCACTAAAACAACAACGTTGTTAGGTCGGCAATGGAGGAGTGGTGTCACATTACATCTGGAGAATATTGTTTATTTGAACAGAATATTTATCATCACTGATGTAAACCTACACTATAGTTCTGCTAAGTTGATCCAGTTGTTATTTCTATGCTTTACTCCTTTTGTTGAAATAATAGACTTACTTATTAGTCATTATTCCATACAATTCGTTGCATTAAATGTAATCTCAAAACACTTGCTAATCCCTAATTTGATTACCTTGAAAAAGGTATTTCTATATGAGAGGGGATGTGTGTTATTTTTCTGCAAAGTGCAAAAAGCACCCTGCTATTTGTGGAATGAAAGGTGACAGTTCATGTTTCTTTTTCTAGTAGCCTTCCAATCCTCAGTTCTTCTAAAGAGGGTAAAAATAACACATGTTCGTGTCTGGCTAACTAGCTTCGTATTTGGTCCCTGACTGTTTGATATGCTACATGCTTCTGAATATTTGGTAATAATGTAGGTGAGGCAGACAAAACGCAGCCCCAAAACATTTGTTTTTTTGACACTGCGATTGGCTTACTTAAATTAAGTATTGAAATAAAACTGTCAGAAAAGTCAAATGCAGTCCTCGACTCAAAACTAAGGCTATGGTTCTGATGACTTACCAAGGAAGCAAATGGTTCATATATTTTCTTTATCATCGTTGATTGACGTGGAGAGTGACAGTCAGCCATAGAGAGGGGACAAGACATTGTCTCCTTCATCTCTTATTCTGCTGGTGTCGTGCGTATAGATCACAGTTGTCACGGCAATCTAGCAGCTCTCAGCGCTGTGGACCCATCAGTCTGTTCTACTGCTGATCCTGTCATGATTCTAGCCCGCTTCTACCCCCCTCCCCTCTCCCCTCTCCGCTTTTTAATTAGACAACAAAACAAAAATATGAATATTCATAGCGCTCAGCTTCATTAATATGCACAATTATGCAAATCAGTATGCAATTAAGCTTCAGCTTTCCCCCAGAGATGCTGTGTTGCAGTACGAGAGGAGATTGAGAGAAAGGGGACGGGCAGGAATTTCTGCTTCACCAAGCTTTAAAATCGCTCCTTTCAAACACATTCACCTCTCTGAAAGCTGGAGTGCACCGGTCAGGGATAATATGCGTTAACTATGTAAGATTGAGACCTTCAGCACTTCAGCGTGTGTCTCTGTTAGGGCGAAGGTGTAGGCCAAATGTGAGAGAATAGATGGGTAATGGATGACTGTTGCCATGGAAAATGTAAAGGATTGGAGTGGGAGAATGAAGAATGTTGAGGATGATTCTGGGTGCCTCATACTGGGTGTTAATTATTCAAACTTCCTACAGCTCATATCCACGCTATGTGACAGCACTGTCACTATGCTGTCTCTCTATGAGCTTGGAACTGAAGCTCTTCAATTGAGGTTACTTTGAGAAGCCTGAAAACAAACTTGTATCAAAGCAGGTCAACTTTATCATTCTCTTATGCAAAGCTTTAGTGTAAGTCCTTGTTACGAATGTGTCTGCCTTTTTGTGGTTAACAGGCCTAACCCAGTTCTTTGTTTTACAGGTATAGATGAGAGGAGTGGATCCGGTCCCTGGGGGCCCGGAGAACAGAACAGTCCATCTTTCAACCAAGGAAGGGTACGGTTTATCCTCACTTACTAGATAGAATCTGGTCTTGAAGACAACACAAGTTTGGGTGCTCATGTAACCTATACCGCTTTCACACACAAACCCAATGTATCAGATGGGATTTGACCACTGATACAGCCTCAGACCCTCGTAGTGAAATATTTAGATATCACCTGGTTCCACACCATTATTTTTATACACTAGACTGATTAAAAAAAGGCTCAGATTTGCCAAGTTTACTTACATTTGAGTTTGATTTCACTCTTAAGGAAACATTGGATTCATGATCCATGAACGTCAGCATAAACATACTCAGACTTGATGATAAAATAACAGTGAGTCACACATTACAAACCTTTATAAAGATTGTCTGTCAAGAGGAAGCCTTATGGATGGTTTGGATCCCACTGGGCTTGTATACAATGATTTATTTGTACACATGTATGCACATTATTAGAACATTTTGATAGACATTAAGTATAACTGTAGTTATCACAGGTTGAACAAATGGATATATGCGATCTTATAGTAGCTGCTGAAGAATCTTATAAACACCTTTTCATCCAAAAACCATAAACACACCTCGGAGCCAAGTTTGCTAATGTGAGCTGACCTATTCACATGAACACACACACGAGTTGAACTGCTTTGGTGTGAAAGGGGTACTAATAATGGGCTAAGTTCTTGTATTTTTTTGTATCACCCTAATTTCTGTCGTACTGTCTTTTTCCCTCAGGGTTATGGAGAACAAGGCCTCTACAGTGAGCAGGAGGGCATTGCGCCCGCCCCCATGTATGGATCAGGGATTGTTGGTAAGAAGCTTTGACTTAAACTAAGCAGTTGAAGCAAAGACACCTTTTACATTGCATATAGTTTTCTTATTAAAGAGATCATGGACATTTGGGGCCAGTGTTTTTGATATCAGGACTTAATGATAGAAGAACATGCAGACTGGAATGTGTAGAAGTTTAAATAAATGAACTGTGTGACTGAACCAACACAATGAGGTGTTTGTTGGAGAGAGCAGTCACTCATAGGTTAGACACCAATGTGCCACTTTAGGGCAAGCCATATTTATGCTTAGGTGGCAATGGATGAAGGGAGCAGGGTAATCAGGGAGGATGTGGAGGAGGGGATTTTTCATGTGTTGTTGTTGCAGTTTGTGTGTTCAGGGCAAGAGGGGGTGGTGGGGTGTAAAGGGCACCCATGCACAAACAAGGCTCTCCCTTGGGACTCCAGTAGCCTATAGCTCTCTTCTGTTTAACTGTCAGGGGAGGGGACAGAGGTTTGGCACAATTGCCCCTGAACCATTTATAATGGGCCAATTTGTTGTTGTTTTGCTGTCCACAGCCATAAATACCACACATTATCATATACACTCACACAGCAGATGGGAGGCACCCAAATGGAGAAAGGGGAACGTCCAGATTGTGATTTAATATTGACATAAAAGCCCAATTTTCACAATCATGACCTGGTTTTATATTCCTTTCCCCGAACAGGAAAGCCTGAGCGAGGACCTTACTCGTCATTTGCACCACAGGTAAATCAGTTAGGATCATCGCCCCTTCTCTCTTGATGCTCTTTTAGGAAAGAATTGTCTCTGCGACATATTTCCTACCATAAATCCATCTGAATTTACTGCCATCATTTATTACTTTTACGCTACATGAGCTTGTGTTTTTTTTACCATCTCTAGCCGGGCTTTATGCCCAGTGAAATGCCCATGCCCAGTCCTGATGCCCTCTCCCCGTCTGGCATGAAGTCCAACTCCCAGTTTTATTCCTCATATGAGGGAAGCAACTCTCGTAGGAGACCCTCACAGGAGCCCATTGGTAAGTTTGTGAAGCCTAGTATCTACAACAGTGTTCAATACAGTCATGGTAATACCTTACTTTGTTCTGATTTATATTTAAGACCATGTTTGTCATCACTTCTCTAGTTGCGGTTTGAAAAATAAATGTTCACTTCTGCTTGGTTAAAGAAAGTGAAATCCCTGAGTGCTCAATGAGGAAAGTCACTGAATAACATCAGTCGACATACCTTTTGATTAGGCCTTTATGAGTGGTCACAAGACAGATGGATAGATTCTGTTTGCATGACTGAATCCCTACATTGGTGGTTGTAAAATCTCTGCTGCAATAAGTTAAGATCTTTGTGCATGTGTGCATGCTTATGTGATTTCCCTCTGTCTTCTTCCCCTCAGGCACACAGCCAAAAAAGATCAGGAAGGTGCCCCCTGGCCTGCCCTCCTCGGTGAGTACTAGCATCCAGAAACGTTGGAGTCCTGAACTATATCTCAGCCCTTGCAGTCAGTCCATGGGAGCTCATGTTGTCATGTTTTACGCCCCCTTTTCACATTCCATTCTGCATCTTAAGCCTCTCCTTGGCTCGCAAAGTAGGAGAATAGCTGCAACACAGGACATCCAGCTCTTACAGCTGTGTATCTGCACCACCGAAGTAAAAAAAAAAAAAAAAAAAAAAAAAAAAATAATGGGTGGGGGAGTGAGGAGCCACTCATTTGCAGCTTGTATTTATAGTGTGTTGTATTTGTAGGCCCTTTGCGTTATGGCCACATTTCTTGGTCTCTGCCAAGCCAACCCGTTAGATCACTGAGGGGAATTCATGCCGGGGTTTGATGGCTCGTACTCCACCTCATTTTTTCCCTCTCCCTCTCGCTCTCTGGGCACCCTATTTCCTCCTCTTCTCTGTTTCTTCCTTTCCCCCTCCCCCTCCTCTCTTACCCCACAGCCCCCTCCCTCTCCTTCCCGCCGCCTCCCTCCCCTTTCTCTCTCTCCCTCCCCCATCCCTCTATCCCAGCTGCCAGTGGAGTTGGCTGCCATCCAGGATTCGGCAGATGGTTCAGTAATTAGGAGTGCATCTCTCCGTTCCCTCTTCTCCTCTCTTTTCCCTCTCCTTTTTCTCTGTTTAATCAAATTACAGAAGAAAACTTCAGTCCATTTGGATTTGAGTTCTGCAGACACAGTTTGATACTTGCTGTTCGTCTAGAATAATCTTGATTAAGAATGCTATGGTGGTTCAGAACATTGGCTTCTTAATACCCATTATACCATGTACTAAATCCGACTGCATCTCCCATTGTGTGATCACATCATCCTGGGTTAGAAAGTGTGCATTGTATATCTGTAATTATCTCAGTGTGTTTCTGTTTTAATAGGATCAAATGTGAAAAGGCCCTAAGAGATTGGAGACAGAGCCCAATAAAATCACTGACACAGCACATTCGATACATTATGCTCAGTCTGTGGTCTGCAGCCATGTTGCAATAGCCTGTTTATCCAATTAAGTAGTAAAACCTGATTGTAAAAATAGATTCCGGCCTAGTAAGGAACACATACTTTTAGGAGCTGTTTGATCAGGGATTTAATGCAAACATATTTTTTTATAATTTTGAAAACTTAACACCAGATACTATTTTCATAAGAAAACTAATCTGTGGTCTCCACCCTAAGCACAAGGAAGCTCCCACTGAACTTTGTTATGAGTATCTCAAAATAAATATGCCATATATAGTATCTACTGAACGGAAAGATTTATATACATTATATCGTTTGTATAAAGTGATTTATGACACAATTCAAAGCTCTGAACTAAAGAGTTACATTTTTCTCTACTGTTTATCCTTTGTAGGTTTATGCATCGGCCTCAGGAGAGGAGTTTACCAGGGACAACGCTGGCTACCCAGCCCCGAAGGCAGGAAATGTCTACCCACCACCATTCTACATGCAAGGTCAGTCTAAACAACATTTGCTTTGAGAGCCTCCTCTTGTTCATTGTTTGAGAAGTTAATTCCAACCTAGACACTTGTTGTCAATGGGGGTAAATGTATAGAAAATCTATAAAAATAATATTGACCTGGAATATTCCTTTTTAAAGCCGGTATGGTTGTAAAATTAGCCCCCCCGTAATATCCTTCTGGATGTTCGGGTGACCGTAGGTGCTGTAGCCGTATGCCAGTGAACACCGGGGGTGCCTGGGTGCTGAATAGTGCATCACAGTTGAATGAAGTCATCACAGTAATGTGACATGTCTCATATGTGGCCTTCATTGTCCTCTCCTCTCCTGTGGCTGGTTATCCCTCGCCCTTCTTGCCCCCCCCCCCTTTCCTCCACTGGATGCACCCCGACAGAAGGCCTTCACCCGCCCTCTGATCCATGGGGCACTGCCAGGTCGATGGTTCAGCCTGGATATACTACCATGCTGGGCAACCCCCCCCATCTGAGCCAGCATGCTCCCTTCACTGCCATCAACCCCCAAGACAGACTGGTAAGTTGTACCTTCATACTTTGGTTCATACTTTTAGTTTTTCTTTGAAGGCATTATGAGGTCTTTGACACGTGTTGACTAATGCATCATTGAGGGCTTCTGTCTGCTCGTGCTTTTAAATGATTGGGTGTCTTTGTTTTTCAGAAACGGCAGCCAATGCCCCTCTCTCCCCAGAACTACCCCATGCATGGCGGGGAGGTGAACGGGGCGCATCCTGCGGGCTTCCACTCAGGCCCCAGCAGCTTCGGAGTCCCCAGCCACACCCCCCCTATGGCTGACCCCATTATGGGTAAACCTTTATGTGTGAAAAGTGCTTCATGTTTTCCTCCAGTATTGTCACATTGCTTCATATTTGTTGAGCATAGGATCTCATTTCAATACTTTTTTCCTTCCCCAAAAGCAAATCGAGGAACAGTACCAGGAAGTTCAGGGGATGAGATTGGAAAAGCCCTAGCATCTGTAAGTTATAATAAAAGATGTACTCATGGGAAAGCCGTGTTTCTAGACCAAAATTCATGTAAAGGAATAAGTTGCCATGTTATTTAATTAGAAACAATTTCTTCCTCTTTCCAGATCTATCCCTCCGATCCTCACAGTAACACCTACCCTCCGTCTCCGTCCACTCCTGCTGGCTCTCCCCAGGCTGTCTCAGGTGAGGGAATATCGTCGAATATAGTCTTTTGTTCCCAGAGGTCTCAAAGTGAGCCGGCTGTTAGGTAGGTTTGTTGGTGCAACAAGGGGTCTTTCCTGTCATATAATGGAATTATATAATCTTTTAAAATACATTGTTGTCCCTCTGACTAAGCCTGAATGATTCTTAGTGACAAGTAGCTCCATCTATTGGGTTAGCGGTGCAAGTTATTTTTGTGTATTGAGGGATCCATACTTTCTAATGTGCAAACTTCCATCCTAATATTCATCGATAATGTCACACTTCAAATATATGATCCGGTCAGTTAATACTTTTAAGTACCAATTTAAAGTGAAAACATTTAAGATTTTTAAGAAAGGTCCTACCTACTCACATAAATCGTACCAATATTCAAAAATACGCGTTTTGTTGAAATGGGTAATTTATAAAATAGCAGACATAGTACATCTATCTGTTTATACTAAACATGTAACGCATGGTCCACCACCCAGCTTAACCGTCACTTGATCTTTATAACACACACACACACACACACACACACACACACACACACACACACACACACACACACACACACACACACACACACGCCATCCAAATATAACTATGGGGAACTAATGGGGAAAATACAGTAGAAAGCGGGTTGGGGTCACTTCCCCATTTGTCTGTGCACTGAGTCCAGGAGTGAGCTCATCACACACCTCGTACACCATGCTGCTGCTGGCACACGGTGAAGGAGAACAAAAGAGGGAGGAAGATGATGATCATGAACCAATAAAGAGAGGCCTTGTTTTAAAATAGTGGACTTGTTCAGTTTAAAGCAGGAGATCAGCTGATGCAGTACATGAGGGCAACTGAACTGAACCTTGTGATCTCTCTTCTAGGCTCTGCATCCCAGTGGACTCGGTCCTCTGGCCAGGCCACACCTTCACCCAACTTTGACAGTGGACTTCAGTCCATGGTGAGTCGGCATACGTTTGAGTTCATAAGCGTTTATGCCCAGAGGTACTGAATAGATGCAGAATGTAAATTAAAAAAACAAATGTTAATATCTATATATGAATGTACATCCTAAAACTATAAATGTATCTATTTGCACATATGCATTCATACTCGTTAAATAACATTTACAAATTAAATCATACAGTTATGTACTACTGAACAAGTGCAGAGTCACAATTACTGCAAAAACGTTAGTGCAAAAAACCCACCTTCATTCATTTACAAACACAACAACCCCTTTTTTTCACGTAAGAGATACAACAAAAGATGGTTGAAGTAAATGACAGAGGAAAACACAGGATGCTATACGGTTATGCTTGCATCACCTTCTGCCGTCTCAGTCTGCCTTATCCTTCATTCTCTAGCCCAATAAAATGGAGGACCGTCTGGACGAAGCCCTCAATGTTCTTCAGCGTCACGCCAGCGGACAAGGAGGGCCAGGCCTGGCTGAGATGCACAGTCTGCTGGCGTCAGGCTTAGGGTTACCTCCTGCCTTCACCAGCGCAGCACTCGGATTGGCCAGCCGCCTGCCTGGACTGGTGAGACAAACAAATAGCAGCCAAGGAAATCTGTGCGCCAGTGACTAAATGAAGTTTGATATGTCAAATGAAAGAAAAAGTAACAGTGAGAGCACTTTATAAACACGTCTTACATGATCATTTAAACACGGTTTCATTGTTGTCCTGAAGATGTCCAGCCTCCATGAGGACTCTGCTGGTCTGCCCTCTAGTGGAGGCCTGATGCACGGGGGTCACCACGGCCCCGCGTCAGGCCCGCCGGGCTCTCAGCCTGAAGGCTTCACCGGTGAGACTTTTGATGCTCTCTAATCTTTTGTTCACATTGATGTCACAGCGTGGGATAATACTTCCCACAATTGAATGTAATATTAACATTAACTGGTTTTATTCCTCTTATTCAGTATCTTTGTTATTGAATGCCTGTGCAGGCCTGTCCGGGAGCCTCAATCGCTCCAGTGGGTCTGATATAAAACGAGAGGACAAGGAGGACGATGAAAACTGCTCAATCACCGACAGGTCAGAGGACGAGAAAAAAGACGTGAAAGCCCGGCTTGGAACGAGGTGTCTAAAACCTTTTTTAGCACAAAGTTTATACTCTTCTATCACTGCATGAGATTTCATGGCAAAACATGCTGCTGTGGTTTAAGTATATAATATGTGTCTGGAAATGGTCTTATAACCTTTGAGATATGATTGTTTATAGTCAATCATTTCTCATACATGTATACTATAGGGCTCTATGAAATCACAACACGTAATAATTCACTTTTAATGGATTTGATTAGTAATTAGTAATTAATACTTTTGTTCTAAAGCTGGTATTACTGGATTTGTTAAAAGTGTCCTAATCTGTTATGTTGAGTGGGATGACCTTATTAGTTGGAGGACTGCATTACCAACATAACATCTCAGTTATTGTTCATGCAGTCGAGATCACAAATAGAAATCAACATCCATGAACAGTAATAGCTGGGTAACAATATCTCCTTTTCTAAATCTGACAACCTAACAGGGGTGTCAACATATGTATCAAATATAAAGGTCAATTACCAGAAATTAACATTAAATATTCTTATGTAGCAAAAGTAGAGACGAAGGATACTTTCATGACAATTATTAGAAGAAAATAAAAAAAGTCAGGTTTTGGAGTTCAATGAAGTGAAAGGCTTTAAACAAATGGGACCTTTAACTTGCAACTCAAAGCCAAATACCGCTACAGTAGCGGCTATACACCGCTACTGTAGCTACAGTAGCTACAGTAGCGGTGTTTGTCATTGAGTTGCTCTGAAATGGTATCCCTCTCCATCTGGTTTGGACATGACTAAGACCATAATCGGGAAGTTATTATCAGAAGTGATGAACTGTACCCATACTGTTGTTTTATTCCCTCCTCATCTGCCAATGGCGCTTCGCTAGTTTGGATGATGAGGAAGACGATGAAGATCTTCCAGTGGAGGTTAAGGCTGAGCGGGAGAAAGTGAGGAGGATGGCAAACAACACCCGTGAGCGGCTACGTGTGCGGGACATCAACGAGGCTTTTAAGGAGCTGGGACGCATGTGTCAGCTCCATATGAGCCACGAGAAACCGCAGACCAAATTGATCGTACTGCAACAGGCCGTTAACGTTATACTCAACCTGGAGCAGCAAGTCCGAGGTCAGTGGGTGTCCAGGGAGGAAGGGAGAGGAGGGGAAGGGCCTCTTTACAAACTGAAACTCCCACACGGCTTCACTTCCCAGCTAGTTATTTCAAATACTTTTCAAACTCATTCTGGTAATCCATTTGACTCCACTTGTTGTGGTTAACTCAATCAGCAATGTCACTTCTTTGCATTCGATCCTAAAAAGAAAGGATCAACAAAGTAAGGAAATGAAGCTGTGTGGTTGTTTTGAAGACATGCCCATTCTCCAGTTCATCCTCTAAGGTTTTCTGGCAACACATACAGCACTGCTCGATGTCCTGATGCAGTATGTGTTGTCTTATAATGGCCTGTCTGTTTCCCCTGTGAAGTGCTTAAGTGTCTCTCTGCTTCGCCCTGTATTAACATCTTTCTGTGTGCTTATTTGCTTTTTTCACTGATGCCTCATTAAGCTTTAAACTAAACTACAGAGTCATCTTCTTTAATTTAATTATTTCAGTGTTTCTTTTTATACATTTTTTCATAATGCCCCCGTCTGCTCCCCTTTGGTTGGCATGAAAGCAGGACTGTGGTGTGGTGTTAAACCGGCCTTCAGCTGTGTTGCAGTGTCTCTGTGCTGCATGTCCAGCCTTTCAAGCATTAACTCTTTAGTTTGCCACCCTGTTTTCGAGAGACAATCCTTTCCATTTCCCCATCCACTCCCTCGTCCTCTGTCATTTTCTTTTTACAGATATCAGCAGTGACCTCCTCTTCCTCACATTCAGATAAATACATCTACTGCTGATGTATTTAATGCCCTCAGTCTCTCCTCTTGGCTTTTCTCTGTGGCTCTTTCTATGTTGGCAGAGGGTGTTGCTTCCTCTCTCTCCCTTTCTCTCTCTCTCCTCATAACTTCTTTGTCATTCTGCTGGACAGTCACTATATCCCCTGAACTTCCACCCTGGACCCAAATGACCAAAATAAACTGTGGTTGGTTAGACTTCAGGACAGATTAGTTACACCTGGTATCGTGATTCCCAAATGATCGGTTACTCGTTAGAAATCATTTGGTTGTGACATCATTTGCGTGCTGTAGATCCACGGGAAGAATTATCCCTACCCTCCGTTCTCTCTACTGCAAAACAGCCCCTCCACTGGGATCTTCTTCAGCAACTACTCGTCTCAACGTATTGGGTGAAGAGGTTGACATATGGCATCAAATATAAACATGCATTTAAGATATAAAACGTTTCCTAATAACAGAATACATATTCTAAAGAAAGACAAATATAAAGCTTAAAGCTGCGTCATAGGTTGAAAACTGTATAAGTGTCGTTTTTGTGAGAACATGTAGTCCTGTAGTAAGAGCTGTGATTTGGGTTTGTTAACCGGCCCCTCCCATCCCCACTTCTCCTCCTGGCTGCAGCGTTGTCTCGGTGAACGATGAGAACCTGACTGCGGAGGAGAAGGAGGCGAGGGAGAAGGAGCGTCGCCACGCTAACAACACTAGGGAGAGGGTGCGCGTGCGCGACATTAACGAAGCCTTCAGAGAGCTGGGCAGGATGGTTTCGGTCCACACGCAGACCGACAAGGCCCAGACCAAGCTTATCATCCTGCAGCAGGCTGTGCAGGTCATTATGGGCCTGGAGAAGCAGGTTCGAGGTAGGTCAGCCGATACAGGAAGGTCTGATCCACACAGACGACAACCATCTCTGATTGTAGCTGGACTAGCTGCCAGTCATTGACCCGTAGGAAAATATCTTTGTTAAAGTTTATTCTCACTGACTGTGTGGCATTCCCTTTGCCGTTCTCTTTACTCTTAACTCTGAAAAAGGGAGAAGAAAGGGAGAATCTTTGAGGAAGTATATCCCTGCCCTCTGCCAAATGCCTGCGTCTGATTCTCATCTTACTTTTCATTTTCCTATCTTGCTTTTCTCCTTTTTGTTCCCCCGTGTCAACTTTTGACCTTTTTTGTTTGTTTAAAACTCTGCTTTAATCTCTTAAAAGATTTCTGAGGAAGCATAATGAGATGTTCACTAGAAGTCCCATACTTCCTCTTCCTGTTTTTAATATAAGTGTTGCTCCTTTTTTTTCAAAGAGCGTAATTTGAACCCAAAGGCTGCCTGCCTCAAGAGGAGAGAGGAGGAAAAAGTTTCAGGCGTGGACCCCTCCATGCAGCTTGGTGGGGGTCATATGGGAGACGGACATATGTAATTCCTAGGTCAGTGCACAGAGCATCTAGAGTAGCATTTATGTTGCCTTCAAGATAATATCATTTTAAAATGTTTTGTTGTTGCAATATATTAATTTGTTTTTCTCCTTTCTCTTCCAGTTCCTGTTGATTGTGCAGCCCTTAGAACACGTGGCCTTAATCTATCATTGTCATGCATCTCAGTGTGTGTTAATCAACTTTTGGAAAGCACACACGCACACACACCTCATTACTGACAAAGCAGGTGGCCACATTCCTGACTATGAATTCAAAAGTAACAAGCACACTCTTACAGGAGGGAAATGTATTAATCTTAACACGACATCACTTTGAACCGAGGACACCGGTTTGGAGACAGTGGAAATTGGACATAAGGACTTTCTTATGATCATGTTTTTGTAAGACATTTTGAAATATTGCTTTACATGTTGGGAGCAAAACTTGTTTGGATCAAATGAAACTTTTTGGATCAACCGCTTCTGTGAGCAGAGTTAGGATTTGTATTGTTGGATGATTATTGGCATTCCCATCTGAAAAGCAGGTCTTACATTCTTCACCGGCAAAGAGGGACACCCGGGTTTAAATCTTATGATTCAACGAAACCTGTAGAAACGTGCCCAAGAGAGGCCTAATGCGTAGTGTATGATTAAGATAAAATGGCCATCAATATTATCTTGTCATGTGATGACTGAACTACGCAGGCAGGTTTGAAGACATCCAGCGAATAACCGGGCAATCAGAGGGCTGACGCATCCTTTTTTTATTTTTGGTATGCTGGTATATCTGGATGTTTTTTCTTTTTTCTTTCTTAGGCTCAAAAGAGTGCAATTTTTTGATTAATTTCAACTGTGGATCCCTGAGTTTTATCTCTTAAAGTCCTGTACATCTGTTACGGTCACTGCCATGCAAGTGGAGCAGAAAGACTGCCGGCGAGACACCGTCCACCGACTCAAACACGAGCAAAGACTCGAGATACAAATCCAGGAACGACAAAGGATGAATCCATTGTGCACAGCGGGTACAGATGTCCTCCTCCCGGCTCAGATCACAACCGTCAGGAAGTCAGTCATTCTCTGCCTGCCCCGGTCAATCACACCTGAAGACTCTGTTCCAGCATGGTGAACTTACTAAACTTAAGTCTAGGAGCAACTTTTATTATGGTAAATCACATGTTGCTTCAAGACGGAGATCATTGAGTATTGAAAGGGATCATGAGTGTTCCTGCTACCCTGTAGAGAATTTACTCACCATTTATGGAATTGTTTTGCTGTGTGTTGAGCATTTGGTGTTTTGTTTTTTCCCCTTTTTGAACAATTGCAAAGCCTGTTGTAAGGATCTTCCTTTTTTGTAGAACTGATTTATCATTGTTTTTTTATCGTTTTATTTTTTACTTTGTAAGATAGTTGTATGAGTTTTGTTTTTATCCTTTTGGAATGCTCTTTCTTTTTTTGTTTACATTGTTTAAATGTAAGACGACTCTCAATTTAGATTCCAGGAACAAAGTGAGGTGTTTTCTTTTGTGCCAGGTGCTTAGAAACGTTAGAAATGACAAACCTATCTGGCTGTAACATCACATGTTGTGATATTGCTCTCTTTAAAAAATGAAAAGAAAAAAAAAATGAATAGAAAAATGCATGTGTCAACACAACCCTGTCAGGCCAGTTGTAATTGGATTGTTCTGGTGTTTGCGACAGTTTTTCTTTAATGAAACAATATTTTCTTCAGCACACCCCCCTCTCCTCTCCCTGATGTCCAGCTCTCTGAAGAGCTTGTTGATAAGTTTGAGGAAGGGGCAGTAGGGGCGGTCTGCACAATCTGCAACATAATTCACTGTTTCATTATGAAATGAAGCATAAAATGAATCAAAAGGGTGGCCTTAGTCATTTTCCTGACTTTGGGAGTTTTGATAATGGTTACTCACCAGTGCCTGAATACTTCTCTGCTACATGGTGGATGACGTTGCATTTGAGGATTTATAGGTTGTACCTTTTTATAATACAGATGTATAAAAACATATATACTTCAGTTACATCTGACAGTGTCTCAGAACATCTAAATGAAGAAGCACACTAGTGGACGCTGACCGCCTCAGTGTCGCTATGTTATTAAACGTAAGATGACTAATAACATGGTCTTCAAATTAGACACTGAAAACTACTTAAAATGCTTCATCTTTTATGTACTGATTTTGTTAAATATAATTTTGTCCTTGACTGGCATGTGCATTGATATGTATGTACAGCTGTATGATATGTCAGCTTTATCATTGTAAGCTGATACTTATATGTAACAGTATTTGGTTTTTTGTACCTGTCATTTTATCACAAATCTTACCCCCACGGACTAGCCCCAAACATTATTTTCTTTGTCAGTTACTCTAACCTTTCTGAAGAAAAAATGTGGTGTTGTTGTGATATGAAAAATCTCTATTGAAGACTTGTACTTTTATTTCTTTACATGAAAGATAGGTCTGCAGTATCCGAGGATCAAAACATGCACCTGATATTCTTCGTTAACAGACCCTTTCTGTCCTCCACAACAGATGACCTGCTACAAATCTCTCTGTCTTCACTCATGTTTGGGGACAACATCTATGTAGGCTATGTCCTCAAAGTGCCTCCAGTTTCCTATTTTTTATATATAAAGTAGATATAGAGAACTGTTGTGTATATAACAGTAATGTAGCAATAAATGTGCCATTTTTAATAACAAATACCACGTTGATCCAATGTCTTTTTTTTTCATATTTTAAAAACACCTGAATGTTTTTTTCCTTTCTGCAATGGAACGAGGTAGTGGTCGATTCATTTAATATTCTATTTGTTAAATGAGTTTCACCCAACTACAACAGACGAAAAGGGTAAAGAGGAATAGATCAACAGGCCAGCAGTACTAGATTGATTTGTCTGCGGTGGGGCAGAAATGAGCTGCACCCAGCTGAATACACAGCCTTTTATTGTATTTGTCCAGAGCCTTAGAAAATGTTTCTATGCTGTAATACAAACTGATGTGTGCAGAAGTGGGAGAAGTACTCGGATGTTGTACTTTAGTAAAAGTGCAACTACCAGAGTATAGGAATACTTTCTTACAAGTAAAAGTCCTGCATTTAAAATGTCGCTCAACTAAAAGTCAAAAAGTATTAGCGTCAAGATATTCTCAAAGTACCAAAGAAAAAAATACTCATTATGCAAATTGGTGCAGCTTATTATAGTACTTTGTGGGGTCAATTGTGAATGTACTACAGGTGCAACTAAAGTCTAATTTAGGTGTTGATTATATTTCATACTATTAATCAAAATGTGCCAAGTCACTAAAGATATTGAATAAATGTAGTGGAGTAGAATTAAGATATTAACCTCTCAATTGTATTGGGTAGAAGTGCCAAGTGCAAAATACTTAAGTAAAGCACAAGTCTCTCAAAATGGTAATTAAGTACAATACTTGAGTAAATGTACTTGTTTACTTTACACCGTGTGTAAAATATTACGTATAGGTTTGAATAAACGCGCATATATTAAGGATTAGCCATGTTAGCAAAACATTAACTACAGATAATAAACGTTAGAAACACCCTCTGTGAGAGAACTGTTCATGTTACAAATCGATGTGTGACATGTTCAGTTTTATCCACTGTTTGATGTTTTCCGAGTAGAATGAACTGAAGTCGTCATCACGCACATGCGCAGTAGCAAACCGGAAGTTCTTTATGCTCTTAAAGCGGCACGGAGGACACATTTCAGCAGAAATGATCGCTAAAGTGGTCGGTACAAAATATGTGTCCATTGCCAAAACATGGTAAGATGATTTGTTTTACATCGTTACAATAGTAGTGCCAAAACCCGGAGAGAAGTCAGACTTACGTCAACATAATCTTGATCGTGTCCTCAGCTAACATTAGCTGTTAGCTTAGCCGAGGTCATCCTGTGGGGACGTGCTGAATACTTCTCAGTTAAACTAAGAATAAAGATGTCAAAAATAACAATTATGAAGTTACAAACAAAGTGAGCTTTTTTGTCCTCATTGAATGTTTTCGCATAGCAATCTCCCGATTTATATACCCTTTGTTTAGCTTGTTTATATAAGTGTAGCTAAGTTAACCATAACACTAGTCAGCTGATCTCACCTGAAGATTAGCTTTAATAATGATTAATAATAATTCATTACATTTATTTAGCGTTTTTCCGAATTCTCAAAGCGCTTTACATAACATATAATTATTACATATATTCGACATGTAACTATGAATACTTTGGACAATACCCACAGGAGCAAATTATTCAGAGTTGACAAAAAATATTAGTGATACAAATAGTCCATTAATAAATTAATTGCTATCGGGATATTAAGAGCATTCCATGGAATATAACAAAAAGTGTATCTCGAGCCGGTTTCTCAAACTTACCTACCCCACCTTTAACGAATCAAATAAATGTCTTTAAATCTTAAATGTGGTCTGATTTGGTGTCTAATTGCTAGAACCACATAGATTTGTGCATACGTTTTTTTACCTGGTAACTACATTAACCTATTACTGTGTCTGTAAGGTATGAGTCATTTGAGAGACACCTATTTAAAAAATGATTTATTATCAATTTAATCATTTTCTAATAATACATCCGTATTTAGAAATGGGTAAAAAGGCAAGTCACTCATAACATTTCAATCAGTGAAGCTTTAACCGGAAAATCTGTTTATCTTTTGCCTATCGGGAATAATGTTGTTTATTTGTGACATGCCTTACGCCAACACTTCTTTATTAACTTCTCATTAAGTGCTTAATATTTTTCTTTGGTGTATGTGTTTAGAATGAATATTTCTCGTCACAAAATAAAACAAACTTTTACAATTTTCATCATTTGTATATCCACTCTGAATGGGAGAAACGTGTAAGTCTTGACAATGTTCTGTTCTCCACAGGATCCCCACTCTGGCCGTATGGGGTTCAGTGGGAGGCGTAGCTCTGGTCCACTTCACAGACTGGAGAATGATTCTGGATTATGTTCCCTACATTAGCGGCAAATTCAATAATGACAAGTAGTGGATATCAGGTTTGTTCAGTGAATGGCAAAGAGATGACTGTCGACATAAGAGAGAAGGTGTAACAGCATGTGTTTCAAACGGAGAGCAGCAGATGCACTAACATGTGTTTTGTCATCATTATTTCTGTTCCTACTGTATCTTTTAAAGCCATAAACAAGGAACTTCTATCCTGTGGGGCTTAGTTTCAACCTTTACATCTAAATTGGCCTTAAACTGATCCCTCATACTGTTCACACTCACATTTCTTATTCTGTGTCATTGTCTTGATTACAACTGGTCTCTAGCTATTTCTATTTATTTAGATGTTAAAAATTAGTTTAAAATGTGGCAAACACTGGAAAGGTGCATACTGTCAAAGACCCTAACGATTCTAATAAAGTTGTGAGTGTAGGCTATGCACCTTTTGCTGTTGTCCACATTGACATTGTTAAGAAAGTTACATTTTCCCAGGTAAACTAATTATCCAAAACCATTTAGTCAAACAGCACATAATATCATAAAATAAACAAAATATAAAGTTATTTTTTCTTTTTCTTTATAGTGTGATACCCTAGATTTGACATTTCTAAACATCTTAATACAGGTATTCGAAACTGCACTATAGTAGTAACTCTGTAATACTCTCTGCGACCAAATACCTCAACTGGTAAAAAATAATTATGTTATCATTTTGCCAAGACCACTACTTTCTTCTCAACAGCAGGCAGCTGTCATGACTAAGGAAATGATAAACCGAGTGTAATTCTGAAACAATAAGCCAGGTAGTTCAGGGTGTCAGGAGACCAGTATCCAGGACAGTGGCCTGTTTTAAAACCATATGTAGCAGCCTTTAATAAGACTAGAACACCTCTGAAACATCAGATGGGATCTGCAGCTTAGTTATTTTGCTAGGAATTCTCCAAAATGAATAGTTTAATAAATAAAAAATGTCTGTGAACAGTGTTGACTGTTAAGTGAGATTTGCATTGTGCTTTTAATGAATAAACAACAAAGTGTGTCATCTGTAAACAAAACAAACATATTTTCAAGTGTCACTTGTTACAACTTTTTCTACTGAACTTGCTGTCTTTCCTTCAAGCTTGATTTCTCTGTCACAGCAAAACCACATTTCTACTTCTCAGACTAATGGCTTTTTCCCCCTTTTTTCGACAGGTTGGTGTCGGTGTTACACAGAGACTTGAATGCTTCGGCTTGGCGTCGTGTGTCCTGCAGGCCACTGGAGGGTGTCATCTTCACCCTGCAGCTCATTGAACTGTTCACCATCAACATCCATGGAAATGCACTGGACTTGTCATTTCAATCATCAACCAACAAAAACGTGTATAGAAGAAATATGAGAACACCGATGACAAATGGACTTTTTTTTTTTTTCGCTTAATTTGGGGGTCAGGTATTCATTTTATTCATCGGTCTTCTGTGCGTCAAACCTGATTCTTAATTGAAAAACTCTGTTATTGTTTTGAAGTAAAGTATATGAGATGTATCCTATATTGTGGTTGTGTATTATTATTTCACTTGTGATTTAATGATTCAATATAGCCGTGATGAACAGGTCCCTGTACATCCATGCACGTTGAGGCACTGGTGGGAACTGCCGTGATTATTGCAGAGTGGTCGAACTTGTGTAAATATATTTCTTTCATGGGGTGACGGGTGTGCTAAACAACACACTTAACAAATGTACTCTATATCATGTCTAACACACTGTCATTTTCATGTAATTTAGATAATGTTAGTCACATAAGGCTGACTTAATCTTTCCAAGTATCGCTTTGACTCAAGGTTATGTGGTGCATTCCACAGAAATGTGTTCAATGAAAAAATACAATATAAATTATTTTGCATCCTATAGGTCTTCGGATTCTTCAGGAAACTAAAAGTATTAGGTATTTTGCTTACCAGTAAAAAAAAGATTCAGAGAAAAATAGATGTAATGATGGTGCCTGGTTAAAAACAAATAAATAAACAAAGGAAATTAGATAAAATTCATAACAAATCCAATTTCAATTTGAGGCTCTAGTTTTCAGTTTTTCTTGGCAATTAGTATTGCAACTAATTTCTTGGATATTTTTGCTTCATCCAATTGTTTTAAACTTTAGTAACATAAGGCCTATCTGTCAACGCATTTCATTTAAGATTCAAGAACAATTTAATCGATGCAAAATATTTTGTCAAATGTACCTTATTTAGAGTCCACCTTTTGAGTTTGTATTTGTGTGAGGTTGCACGAAGGGTTCCCAAAGTTCTCTGCACCATTATTAAAAAAATTATATAATCGATGCATTCTGTAATATAACAGGAGAAAAAAAGCCTTAAACGTATTAGCCCTCTGCGTGTCCCATAGCTCAAATCTGAAATGCCTCCACGTTTTTATATACACTTCGTGGTTTAAAAGAAACGTTTGAGAAAGTGTCGTGCTTTATTAATAAAATACACAGTAACCTCCATAGACTCTTATCTGCTCTAGCACACTGCACCGGTAACTTGGCGCATCACTTTCGCACTATATCACCGCGGATGTGGCGGGTGTCTTCCGCTCATTGTGTTAGAAGGCTGGCGGAGTGATCTGCAGTTGTGAAGGTCCTGACGGGAGACAGACAGCAAAGGGAATCGACAACAAACCGTGCCGTGAAAAATTATGACTGCAACAACAAACAGATAGCTGGCTTCTTATCTTTCCTGAGCCAGAATCACAGACAAGCAAATCAAGAAAGCCAAGACCATGGAAAGGAAAGGGTAAGACTTTTTAATATTCTGCCCTATGAGTTGGTAAAATAAAAGTTTCTCTGCAGGAAATGCACGCATGCATACATGCGTTTTGCAGTTCAGAACAACTCTTACAAAATGGTCATGTCTGTGTTGTATACGCGTTGTTTAATACTCTTACCGCACGCTTTAGATAGTTTTGAGTTTGATCGGTTTGTAAACGTCCACTTGTGAACAATGGTATGTTAATTGATGCGGTAGTTGCTCGTACGTTAACATTAGTAGCGCAGCTAGCTTGATTAGCTAGCTGAGTTTCATTGTTTACACACGCTTGACTTGCGGCGCGTTGGGCCCCGGCTCGGCGTCTCCAGGATGCCTTCTCAAAGTCTCAGCTGCAGCTCACTTTCCCTTTTTGAACTAGAAGATAAGGGACATGCTGTTTCGTAGATAATGTAGCTCTTACATTGGCTTACAAGTCCTTTAAATTAGTTGCTATATTATTCTCAACAAAGTGGTTTTGCTTGAAAAGCCAGCCAGTCTAATGTATTACAAATACAGAGTTGATGGTTTACTGATAAACCCTGAAGCTCCACTTACAAACGATCATCCAAACCGGTGTTTTCCCAAACTGTAGCTTATTACTCCACCTGTGGGCGTGTTCAGATGGGCTGCATTGATAACCATGTAGGAACCCCTGTTATTTTGCGACAAATTACAGCTTGTGATCATTTAAAGGTAGTGCCATCAATGCCTGTAAAGAGATCATTCATTCATTTAGAATAAACCATATGATGGTGTCCAGCTGTGGTGGAAAGCAGTCATCCTTTACTTTAGTAACACTACTATTACCACACAAAAAATGCTGGTATGTTAAAGCTTACTTAAGTTATAGAAGAGTATGTAAGTGTTATCATTATAATAAACCTAGAATATCAGTAAATAAGTAATATCGTCCCTGTCAATGTATCACCATTTTGATTCTTTTGGGTTAATATTACACCTGTAACATTTGCATTTTACTGCTGTAGATGTTTAGTGATTCAAATCAAAAATAACCTGAACGCAAAGGGTATAAAGAATCGATGTTGAGAAGTAAATAAAGCTGTCAGATAAATGATGTAAATAAAAAGAGAAATTCTAGTATTTGAGATAAGTAATAACTGCTTTAATGCCTTAGTTATTGAGAAGGGACATTAGGTGATGTTGACTTTTCTTCTTTTCTTCTAGTATACCTGTTAAGCGCATTCTCAACAAACCCCAGATAGTCCGTAGTCTGGGCAACCACCTTCACACAGATGTGAACGCCGGCCACTCCCGAGCTGGATGGTCGCTCCTGACCAAAGTGCACCGCAGCAGGCACAAGCATCTGTACGACAACAATCATCACAACAGGGTGAGTCTGCATCCCCCCCCACCCCCCCCCCGTACTAATGAGACCTACATCCCAGTGCCAGTTGAAAGGACATTTCCCCTGAAACTTCATGGTGGTCTCTGGACACTTAAATTCGTACACAGGGCCTGTAAAACATATTCACCAGGTTATCGTTTTACATCATTGAACCAAATGGGTTTTAATTATATTTTCTGACCATGCCCAACAGAGCAAGAGTCTTCAATGTGAAGCAATCAGTGGAGGCACATTAAGTAGTGATTACAGCCTTGAGTGTATATCAAAAAGGTTTGTGTCAGCTCTGTATGTCTTGACACTGCAGTTTTCCTTCAGTTATTCAGCCACACATTTTGGATTGACTTAGAACCTCAAGGACTCATCTAAAGTGTTTTATAACCCTCATCACAGAGTTACTTCTGTTTAACAGTGGCTAACCGGGCTACATTTGAAAATGTTCCCTTTAAACAATTTGTTCATCATAATAATCACGGGAGTTCATTGTCATGTTTACATTGTTTCGCCTTGTTCGGTAATGATACAACAATAACACATTCATACAACTGCGTAGATGCAGTTACCTCTCAGAAAGGTCATACTAAGAACGGTTGTATTTTACTATCATCAAAGCTGGTTATAAGTCATGTTGTTGTCTCTCTTAAAGTCCAAGCCTGATTTAAACACAACACTACCAGTTCGACAGACGGCATCCATCTTCAAACAACCGGTGACCAAGGTAACAAATCATCCCAACAACAAGGTGAAGGCGGACCCGCAGAAGTCTGTGGACCAACCGAAACAAGTAAGTCCAATGACAAAACAAACACAATATAGCATTAAACGTTCTTTAGAGTCTCACCATTAAAACAATAATAAGTTAAATCAAGTTAAAACATACATTTTCAAATGTCCCAACAATTAAAGTGGTGTACCTATTTGTCTTCATTTTGATTCTATTGCTAATGTGTGCTTTTCTTCTCTATATTTAATAAGTTAACTCACACTGTATTATTGCCTGCTATGCCACTTTTGCTGTTACGCTGTACATTTCCCCGCTGAGGGACTAATAAAGGAATTCTGATTCTGATCTCTCTTGCTGCAAGTAGTTGTAATGTTTTGCATAGCTGACAAATACTAGCGTATATAACACCTGGTGTTCTTTAATGTCGCTTTCTGGCTCTGTGTACATAAAACTTCTGTTTTGCTTCAATCTCCAGCTATTCTGGGAGAGGAAGTTGAGCGGGTTGAATGCATTCGATATCGCAGAGGAGCTGGTGAAAACGATGGATCTTCCCAAAGGCTTACAGGGTGAGATAACCAAGGCAAATATGACCTTGTGTGGTTAAAAACTGGGGTTCTTCTAGAAGCTTGACTTGTGCTTCCCTTTTGTCTTCTACCTAGCTGTTGGTCCTGTGAGCTCAGATAAAACTCTGCTGTCTTCCATCGCCAGTGCTCTGCACACCAGCCCCTCCCCTGTCACCGGACAGCTCACCGCCGCTGTGGAGAAAAACCCTGGAGTCTGGCTCAACACATCACAACCTCTCTGCAAAGCCTTCGTAGTGACCGACGATGACATCAGGTGAGATGGTCGCACAAGCAACACAGCTGTCGGGGTTAATTAATTTCACATATACGTTGGAATTAAACAATCTGTGTCTCAAGTACGCTGTAGAGGTGCAGTCTATTGTGGCACATGGCACAGTAAGGTAGGGCGACTTGTAGGGGCTGTAGTTAGTTTTGGGTAATTATCGGTAAGTAAGTTACTGATATAGTAAATGGTTATTGGTGTTATGTAAATATGTGTCCTCTGCTTGACGAAAAGCACCAAGCTTAAAATGTGTTTGTGAGGAGGAAGTTACTGCAACTCAATCCAACTCAAGGCTTCTATAGTGTTTTTAAAACTATGAATAGTCTCATCTTTTTTGATTGTTCACCTACATAGAATGTGTGACAAATTACACAAAAAGTAAATATACACTATACATTGCTCTTGGTAGTTGGGTTAAGACTAATTGTTATCGGTCTAAATTTGCACTGTGCAGTACTTTGGTGATAAATATCATACAGCAATGACAAACATATTAAATTGCTATACATTTTCCCTCACTTAATAATAATAATAATAATAACTTAAATGTATATAGCTCCTTTCAGGGGACCCAAGGTTGCTTTACAGAAAAACAGTTTGTGGAACTAATTCCTCATCATCATCTTTGCCATGAAATGGCTGTTTTCATAGTTTCCTTGTCTTGGTCTATGTCTCTCAGGAAGCAGGAGGACCTGGTGCAGAGTGTGAGGCGGCGGCTGGAGGAAGCCCTCACGGCTGACATGTTGGCTCATATAGAGGACATCACTGCAGAAGCAGCAGCAGCTAACAAAGCAGAAGAGAAGGTGGAGAAGGTGAACAAGGAGGAATTATAGCCAAGGTACACAGAACTGCAGGACCTGATCTATTGTTGCCTATAACTTTAATGTTGCTCCATCCATTAGCCTCTGTTTTTGATTGTCTTCAGTTGGTATGAACTGCAGTACATGTAACAAGTCTCTTTCTCATCTCTCCCATAGGCTTGTTTGACATGAAGTTGCTGGTAAACTCCTTTTTATTTTCAAATATTTGGCTCCATGAAGATTTTTTTAACTCAATTTCAAGTGAAATATACCCTAAATGCAGACATTCTGCAGATTTTGTTTACCTAAACAAAGATTGTTATTTTTGTTTTTATTTTTGTTGTGTTACGGTGTTCTTCTGAAAGGGTCCTTTGGGTTTTTAGTTCATTTTTACCTCTAATAATGTTTGGGAACTGTCTATAGACTCTATACTGTTTATTGTTTTCAGGAAACAGTGACATCACCATTTCACCATTGATACTATATTGAGTCAAAGGATGTTACTGTTCCCATAAGAATACTTCTAAGGCAGTTTCACAGCAGTTGTGGATGCTGCTCTACACAATGCAGTGTTACATTTAGTTAACAGCTGTTCAAGCTCCAAGTTAAAAACACAAACCTGATGTATGTGACTGTGTGTTTGCGTGTGTGTTGAATGTATAAGCTCATGTTGACATCTTAAGTATTTTTTTTTTTTTTTAAACATGTTGCTCTTTTATATTTTAATCTGGCACTGTAGGTAGTGTGTTTTATGTTCAGAAGCATAGTAAGGTTGCAGTATGTTTACATGCGCACAGCACTCTTGTGGCTGTGGGTTATTAAAATGTAGTTTGTTTGATTCAAGGTTTTACAGTTCAAAGCAGTGTTATTTCTTACAATAATGAGAGTTTACATGGTTTTAAGTTCAAGCCATGGTATTTGTGTTGACAAAAGAATAATCAGTACTGTTTCATCAGCTACATTTGAGCTTTAACAGGAAAAATATGTACCCTCAGATAATACAAAAACAAGTACAACACTGACGTACCTCAAAACAAGATGTACTGTACCTCAATACAAGATTCATTATTTGTCTCTGTCTAATAAATGCAGCTCTTTAAAAACTGGTGTTGATTGTCTTTTATTGGTCATTATCCTCCTTAGATATAGGAGGTTATGGTAGTTGGACAGGTTTTTAAGATAGTATTCTTATTCCTCTTCAAATAAAGGGTTCACATTGTTCATGTCCATCATAAAACAATACTAACATACATATATGTATATGGATGTTATAAGTGGGATGAAACCTTGTTTCCAAATCCACAGTCTGTGTTGTGCCAAAGCTAATGAGTTGGTCAAAACAGTGTCCCTAAAAACAATAAGGGGGCAAAACAATTGATTCAGGAGGGGATTTCTACCCAGCCATTATGGACAATTTCATTTATCATTAATGTCCGTTTCCATGTGAGCTTTGTTTTAAGATTTACTTGGAAAAAAACATTCCTTTGTCTTCAGTACGATGTTCCCATCTGAGATTTGCCTCTCCTTTTTTTATGTTTTATTAGATTTCTCCTGACTTAATATTTGAATGTATTGCTATTGGTTCTTTGTGTTACATGTTGTGTAGTTATGCCTCTATTTCTTAAATTATGTATACCTGAATTGAGAAATTCTAACCCATCCCCCTTTGGCTGGAAGCAATGTGGGTCAACTCCTGTTGTTTTTCTGTGCTATAGAAATACACTAACTAAACTGTTGTTTATTTATTTCAATTCATAGTAAAAAAAAAATAGGGTTTGCGCTGAAAATGTAACTACTAGAAAGAACATAAATGCAGACACGAACACACTGCATGAGCATCTTGAAAGGCTGTTGTTGGAAAACCCAAACCACCTCATTGGTAGCATGATGAACACACCCAACCACGGCCACATTAGAAGAAAAAAAAACAGCAATGCGTTCACTGTGGGCGATGCAAAAACGTGTAATAAAATTGGTAAATCAAATATCTCCCTGCAGACTGTCAGACACTGACAGCAGCGGTGGCTTGCCGTTGATGCTGCATGTGGCCTTTGAACCCATTGTTGTGTCGCGGGTGACGTCAGTGCCGTGTGCGGGAGACGGAGCGGCGTGCGCCTGGCGAGACAAAGGCGGCGGACCGGGGTCAGGCAGCAGCAGCAGAGAGCCGAGAACCACTGTTTTTATTGTCACCAAAAAGACAACAACTATCCTTGGATTTCAGCTGCGTTCCCCTGCTGGAAAGCAGAATGAAGACACAGTGACACTCCCAGGAATACGCTCTGACTCCAGAAAGAGAACAAAAACAACAACAGTGCCCTCTTTTCGATTTTAAACGTTTTTCTCCTACGCCCCCCATTTAGCGTGCTAGCTAAGCTAACCCTGTTAGCTCCCTAGCGCTGCACAGAGCTGGTCTCCTCCTCCTCCTGGCTGCTTCTCATCTTTTCCCTCAAAACCTGGGCGACAAGCGAAGACAGGATCTCATCGACCAAGGCAAGATAAAGTAAGTTCGTGTGTTTTTCGCACTTGTCTAATTTTTGTAATCAACCTTTGAGAATGGGCACAAGTTGGACTGTCAGAGCAGAGCTAGCAGCTAGCCGAGCTGCTCCCAAACAAAGGGGTCGACAACGTGACTGAGTGCCGACTGTGTGGAGCTAGCCTGTTAGCCTGGCTCTTGGGGCTAACAACAGATAATATTAATCTTTTATCTTTCATTTTGTATTCGATCAGTACATTTAAGAGTGTCTGTCGTTGGTGCCACACATGTTATTTGTGTTTGTGCAAGGGAATACTTTGTTCACTTGTGTTCAGGCGGACATGCTTTATCCCGACAAAACAACCTGGATGGTTTCAGTTGTCAGACAAGAAGCAACAACAGACAAAGCAAGGCGCCCAAATCAACACTGCTCCTGCATGCTACTCTTTATATATGATCGGCAGCCCCACGGTGCTCCACTCCTGTCTTGATTTTGTGTGTTTAATGATAAACAGACACTTGACTTTTTTGTTGCTTTTTATTAATTGTTTTCTACAGAAGAGGGTGAGTTCACTCCCAACAAACAGGCATCGGTGATCTGATGTGAGATCCACGGAGACAATATGCCTAGCCCTTTATTCCACCCCGAGATTATGGACCACGACGTGGTGATCAGCAGCCAGCACAACGGGGTCGGTCTTCCCCGGGAGACAGACCAGGAGTCCCGGGACGAGGACCACCAAGAGGCATTCCGCTTCGCCCTGGACCAGCTGTCACTCATGGCCATGGAGAAGGTGGACTGTGTGGGCGGCGGTGGGAGCGTAGGCGGCGGACTGGTCGACCCTCTGGATGGGACCCAGGGTCCGGGCTCTGACGGCTGTAACGGTGTGGGCTACGTGGATCTCCAGATGATGGAGCATCCCAACGGGTCCCGGGATTCGCCGTCGTCCTGCTCTCCATCCCCAGAGTACTACGGCACAGGCGGGTACCACATGGCCGGCTCCCACTCAATGCTCCACGGGGAACAAAGCTCCGTCCTCTGCAGCAGAAAAAGAAGTGTCAACATGACTGAATGTGTGCCTGTCCCCAGCTCCGAGCATGTGGCCGAAATAGTGGGAAGACAAGGTAAGAGCATGAGTGTTTTTTGTGGTGTTTTTTTTGTGAGGGGTTATTTGGTGTTTGTTTGTGTACAGCTCGGCCAGGCAATGCAGCCTGGTGGCTCTTTGTTTGGGTGGCAGTCTGGAGAGAGGAGGGTCTCTGAACTTTTACTGCCTCAGCTTGATGCTCTGGTCGGGCCGGACTCACCGTGTTGGTCTTTAATGTCAACATAATGCGGCTACTCCCTTAAAGAAGCCATACATAATGTATTGATATTCAATTTCTAACAGTAATAAGACAATGCCTTGACATAGAGGGAGTGAGGGAGTGTGGGCGATGAGTAGGAGGGAGGGGGAGGGGTGGAGAGGGTCAGACAAAGCGGCAGATTGTCGGGAGTCTGGACATGTCTAGCAGCATGCACCAAACAAAGGAAATATACCGAAATGTGCAGATTTTATACATCACAGGTTAAATGGGCATGTTTAAACACTGGGCTCACCTTTTAACTCGTGTAGGTGTTTATAGTAAATTATTATTGTCTCTGCTGCTGATTTTAAGCTGAAACGCGGCAGCAGCAGGCTCACAAACACGGGACTGGGCGGTGTTACGCCCTGCACCCAGCTCTGTCTGCCGATGCTGCTGTTCGCTCCTGAGCCGTTTCCCTTTACACATATCATTTTTATTTTTTATTTGTTATCAATATATATCATTAATTTTAAATTGGCCCTTGTTGTAGGTTTGGTTCGCCCGTTGCAGACGCGGCAGCGTTGAGGCATTGTTCTCTTTGTTTGAAAAAGCCATGCTTTCTGCTTCCCACAATGACATCACACTCCGGGCGTCCTATTGGTCGCCGAGAATGAAGCGTCCATATTTAAAGAAACAGAGCATGAGTTGACACCAGCAGTGCACCAGCTATTGACTTGGTGTTTGGGCAGACAGGCTCTTCATTCATATATTTCTTATGCATAATGCGTTTGCTACTACGTATATGTTTTTATAGATTTGAAAATGGTGCATTCATTAAAACCCTTAAACCGGAGTGCTATGATTAATGAATGTAATTGAGGAATAAGTACACACATGCTTACGCAACTGAGCATACTCCCCTTATTCAAATATGTATTTGAGACGTTTTCAATGTTGTTTGTGTGTAACAAAGCTGATGCTTAATTATGCACACTTACCATGGTTTTAACATATGCAATAGACCTGCAAAAAAAAAAACTGCCTTTTTATTAGAGATAATGATCGGTTTTGTAGAAAGGTTTGTGAGGGACATGTATTTGACTATATAAGAGATTTGGAGGCTGCCGTTTGTGGTTCAATTGTACTCAAATTACTTTCACGAGGCCTGGTAAATACTCAAACAACACCACCACAAACCTATATAGTCAAATCACCACCATATTTCAACAAAACCTTCACTTTAGTCAAACATAATTTATAAATACGTGTTTGAATGTGTTTAATAATGGTGTTAATGTACTTCTGCATCTTTCAGGTTGCAAGATTAAGGCCTTGCGTGCCAAGACAAATACCTACATAAAGACTCCAGTCAGGGGCGAGGAGCCAGTATTCATCGTGACGGGACGAAGGGAGGATGTGGAAATGGCTAAACGTGAAATTGTCTCTGCGGCCGAGCATTTCTCTATGATCCGGGCATCCCGCTGCAAAGCCGGAGGGCCCGGGGCAGCAGGAGGAGGAGGAGGAACCAGCACTGGCACTGGAACTGGTACTGGCACTGGCACCAGCTCTCTTCCTGGACCTCCACACTTACCTGGACAGACCACCATACAGGTAGAGAACCCCCCATGGCTTAGCTCTTATTGTGTTTATGTGTGACTCTGGATGTATGATAACTAATGTGTGTTTAAAATAAACAACAAATCACCTACATAGTAACATTGAAATGTTTCTCTTCCAGGTGAGGGTGCCCTACAGAGTAGTCGGTTTAGTTGTTGGACCAAAGGGAGCGACTATCAAGCGCATCCAGCAGCAGACTCACACCTACATCGTGACCCCCAGTCGAGAGAAAGACCCCGTGTTCGAGGTCACCGGCATGCCGGAGAATGTGGACCGAGCGAGAGAGGAGATCGAGACCCACATCACCCTGAGAACTGGAACCTTTGTAGACCTGCAGGGTGACAACGACTTCCACTCCAACGGCACTGATGTCAGTCTTGAAGGCCTGGGCGCCCTGAGCGCGGGGCTGGCCTCTACTCTGTGGTCCAGGGCTTCTGGCCACCACTCTGCAGCCCCTCCACCTCCAGGCTCCCCACCTCCTCCCATTCCCATGTCCATGCACCACTCCTCCGGCCGGAAGATGTCCTCCTCGGCAGCCTATCACACGCACAACGGCGGGATGAACTCAGAGAACTTCAGCAACACACGCAAGGCCAATGAGTCAGGCAGCCCCACCAGCCCCTTTAGCACAGGCTCCAGCAGTGCGGGAGGAGGATTCACTTTCGGGGGAGACTCCACCCCAGGGTTGCCCTCCTCCGATGAACTGGGCTTCGAGTTCAGTGCCGCCAACATCTGGGCTCCTTTCGTTAACGGTGGAGCAGGCAATAAGACGCCTGGCTCCGCCCAGCAGCAGCCTCTACGTCGCAACAGCAGCGGCCTCAGCGGTGGCGCCATCACCCCACGATTGTCTCCAACTCTCCCTCAGGACACGGGCGTGGGCCCCATGGATCACCCCCTAGCCCGCCGTGCACAGAGCGACCCCCTTAGCACTCTCTCCTGGCTGCAGTCTGGCAACGCAGGCGGCGGCTCCTTCTCCGGAGCGTCCAGCTCCAGCTCCGCCGGCTCGTCCACCGGTTATTCCTCCTGCTCGGCCTCCTCCCTGCCCGGCGGCTCCCCCACTGACTCCGAGGGAGGCAGCGGCGGGGGTCTCAGCTCTGGCATGCTGAGTCGTCTGAAAGGCCCCGGGGTCGCAGGTCTGGTCGGCGTCGGCCCCGGGATCAACAGGGACTGCTTTGTGTGTTTCGAGAGCGAGGTGACAGCAGCCCTGGTGCCGTGTGGCCACAACCTGTTCTGCATGGAGTGCGCCGGGCAGATCTGCCAGTCAGCCGAGCCGGAGTGCCCCGTCTGCCACACCCCCACCACACAGTGCATCCGCATCTTCTCCTAATGCTCCGGCAGAGCGGCGGGGCGGGGGGTGAAATAGGAGGGAGGCGGGAAGAAGACTGGAGTGGGGCACCAGCTGTGGCAGACGGAAGGATTCACACTAATAACTTTCACACACACATGATGGACCATAATAAACGCATAATAGAGATGATGATACTATACGGATGTTGATTTATTGCTGATAACTGTCAAAAATAATAATAACAATAATAATAATAATAACGACTGAAGTTAATTGAAACTGGTCTGCAGACAGTTGTTGCCTCAGACGGTCTCAGTGATGAACTTATGGAAGGAAACTAGTGTCTTATCTCTCTTCAGGCCTTCATTTTGACTCGGCGCTGCCGGTCTGTCTCGACATTTCTTCATTCTGGCTTCTTCAGATCTCTGCCTGCTTTTCTCTCACAGCCTTTCCTTTTGACACTTTTGTACTTAACAGATATTTTTCGATGGAGCTGTCAATAAGGCCTGCACTTTTCTACTCCTTATTTTAATGTTTCTTGACAGGAGGCAAACCGTTCCAAACCGACCCCCCCCCCCCCGTCCTTTCACCTTCTCCTCTTGCTCTCACTCATGCTGTTGCCTGTAACATTGAGAGGCGGGGTTGCTATTTTTTGTAAGTTTGGAACTTTTTTAAAGATCTGCGATGTGATCAGGCCCCTATCAGCACACCCTAGGGCCATCTTAGGAAGACCTCCTGTTTCTCGTTGCCACACAAATTTAGCCATCTTTAATGCCAAATGAATGCTATTAAATAGAACTCTCTTTAATTCACTCTCCAAATTGAATAACCTGTTGGATGAATTTGCATTGCAAATGTGGCTGCTGCTTTGATTCACATGTATAGAGTGGTGCAGTGACGAGTCCTAAAGTGAGTTAGCATTTTACCACTACCGGTTCCCTCGTCTCAGAGTCAATGGGATTTCTCCATAGGATTTTGGAAAATAGCTTGAAATTGAGCTTACTTCCGGGTTAAGTCATCCCTGCACCACTCTATTACCCATTAATAAGTGAGAAACATACCATTTGTGATACAGTAGGAATGTGTCTGAGGTCAGTTTATTTGTACGTTTGGGCTGCCTGACAATCCCTTTACATCTCTCTATTGCGTATGTGTGAATATCGCTCACTCATGCTGTTTTCACATCTGCATCATCATGTGTCACCATGTGAAGGTCTGGTGTCTGTCCTGCTGCCCCTCCTTCACTCCCACAGTCTTAAAGGAAGGATTCGCTCTGATCCATCCATCCCATCATGCCTGTTACACTCAGATCAGTCGCTCAGCCTTTTCTATTCTATTCTATTTTTTGACTCTTGACTGTCGAGTGTGTGGCTCGCAGACATATTTTGGACTCTAGGATGAGATAGGGCTTCTCTGATGTCACACGTGAATGTTTTGTGCTGTAAGGATATGGAGAAGGCTGCTCCTCCCACACTAAACAATAACAAGTGGCTCAATTGAACCTTTTTTTCATGCACTGTAACTCCTAGTCCCTCTTAGTAGGAAAGAAAAACAGCTCTTACTGTTTTAGTTTTGGTAGTTTTGGTCTTCCACCCCACTCTCACAGCAAAGCTGTATGGTACTCTCAGATGACACACTGTCATTCCCATATAGCGCTGTACTTCTGGCCAAATGTGGTGCACTAAGTGGTTAGTCGTTTAAGGTTGCTCCCATGTTTTCATAGCATTACTGATAAGGCAGTTGCATTCTGTTTTGTGTTAGTGGTTTTTAAAGAATTCAGTCTAAGTTTGCAGTAACTGCCTCCTATAGTGTTAATACTGTATGTATGATTTTGGGCGATGTAGTTGGTACGCGGTTGCCGTTATTGGCCCTTTTGAACATGCACGGAATCAGCTCATAGAATGAGACAAGCCATGCCGACAGAATTAAATCGACACACCTAATTCTCAAGGGCTTCCTCTGACTGCACAGACACATGATCACGCTTTCAGGCTCACATGCAGAAGGTAGAACTTATCCTTTATGGCAGCTAGTAGCTAGGTCATCCAGGGCTTCCAGACACTTTGTGTTCAAATCCCAGCAGCTGCAGAATGTTTTGCTGTTGTATCTTAAACTATATTTTCTAACTGTCCCTACACAGCCATCACATTCGGATCCGGTCAGTAGGGCATTGCAGCCACAGTGTGTCGTCCTCTCTGGACGTAGTCTCAGATCAGGACGGGTCGTAGGGTTTTAATGTCAAAGGAAAAAGGGTAACTCTACTGAGAGTAAAAAAACATGTAGAAAATGGGCAGTTTCTGCTGTGCTTTGGTGCTCCAGCCAGTATGTTAACTTATTTGCTGCCTGACTGTTCGTTTGCTACTTAGGTGACGAGGGCAGCAGCTGCACAGAGGAATCTAATAAGCCGCTGTCCTGGTTGAGCGCAGCAGTGCACTCACTCATGTGTCCATACGTGTACGTGAAATCTGCCCAGGAGCTGAACCAGGAGTCTTTGTGAAGACTCTCCCATGGTGCTTTGGGGCAACTCCCTATTGATACGCAGCGTTGAACAAACCCAGTTGGCAGCGGGAGGCCTCTTAGTGTTCAGACTTCTGCGGCGCTGCACTGTAAACCTGACTACCCTGTTCTCGCTCCTGCGAGAACGCCTCCCTGTCAGGCTCTGATGTCAAACGTCACATTTTGTTTCTTAATCGTGTGCACTCAGAACAGATGCCGGGCCCTGAACGCATCTGAAAGAACTGATCAGCTGTGTGAGTCTGATGATGCCGATCTTAGAGCCCTTCTTTAAACTGTCCACGTTGGCGTGTTAAAGGAAATAAACGTGTTGTATTTACCAGATGGTTCTGATGCACACCCTGGTGTTGCACTGGGGTGTTTCTGGCCAATGAGAAATTGTTAGGGTTTAGTGTACAGTAGTTTTCATTGTTAAAAAGGTACAAAGTTTTTCAGATTGACTGCTGATTTTTTTTTTTTTTTGCCAAACTTATCCCCTCCCCCATTTCCTTCCTAAAGGTTTGAAAACAGGGTTTCCTGAGGTATGCTAGCCAGTGACCTCTGACCTTTTTAGTGATTAGAGGGGGGGGATGCGAAGAGAGCCAGGCCAGTAAGGGGTGACAGACACCCCTCAAGCTGCCGCTCTCCTATTTTTTGCTTTAATTCTCTTTTGTATGCAGAACCAAAATGTAAAACGTTGGCAAACTAGGTTTCAGGCCTGACCTGTGTGTATATACCCTGAATACAATCATTGGGCTCTTGTTTTCAAAAGCAAAATGAATTAATTGAAGATAAGTGTAGTTTCTAAAGAACATGTATCATTATTTGTAAGTTAACCATCTGCATGTCTTCAAGCCACCTGGCATTAGCTAATAATTTTTAAGATAAAAAAAAAACTTTTTACACATTTTTATTTTTTACAATTTATTTGCGTACCTAAATATCCCAGACAATAATGTGACCCTTTTTATTACTTCAAATTTATTTTTATTTTCCATTTTTTTATTTTCCTTATTTCCTGTGTACTACATAATAGGCAATTTATAACAAAATGAGAAAATTATTGAAGAAATTTTAAAATTGAAATATATTTTATTTGAAAGTTTATGGACCTTTTAACCGTGAGCCGGAAAAATTGTATAATCGTATAATTTGAGCTGACTTGACGGTTATGAGAAATGTATCAAGAGTTTTATTTTTTATGCTTCTTTAATAAAGTCTTGTTTTGGTTTCATTTTTTTTACTGTAAAATAAGAACTTGTGTCTGGTGTCTTTTTTTCTGTTCCAAGTGGAAACGTGCATCACAATGGAGCGTCTTGGCCACAAGGGGGCAGTAAAAACACACCTCCATAAATAATGGCCTGAGAGAAATCTGCAGTTCAGGCTGTCTGTAAATCTGAGTCTAGACCTTCAGATCAAGATAAAACATCAGGATGAGCCTGAATCTTACACTAACATCCGGTGGAAATCTTCCAACAATAAATTCAACAGCACTATGGCAGGATTTGGACCTTTTAGAAATAAGCAATTTGAAGGAAATAGTCAGACAATTATTTTCTGTCATGTTTTAGCTCAATTATTTAAATCAACCACCCAGATTACCCACTCAAACCTTCCATCAGCAGATACTCCATTCACCGGGGATGGGTTTAAATCCCAGCCAGTAAACTCATTAACATACAGTGTACAGAACACAAGTGAAATCTGTTTTGTACACTATGTTACACCATGTTACGAAAAACTCCCTATTTAGTCTTGATGATACTCAACTTTCATTTCCTTTTAAGAAAGCAGAGAAGGAGCTCTTCTCAGTTTCACAGACTGTTGGCAGTCTACGGCTGGTTAACTCTCACATTCAGACACCTGTTTTTATTGGATTTACTATTTTAAATAAACATTTTAAGAAAATCCTGCTATTTTTCTCTCTCTTCCTGCTCTAAAACTCTTAGATTTTATTAAGAGTTCCTCATGTGACAGTAAATTCAAAACAATGCCTAATGGTTTACTACACTTGATGGTAGGACATGCCTTTATTAGATTTGTAGTGCTTTTGTATTTATTTGCCTAAGAAATGTATGATTCAGCTCTTTCATCTAAAAAAGACAAATGCTCTGGTTATGATGTCATCAAATACTATAAACTTTTTAATTTAAATTTGGCATGGTTTTCCCGTTATCCTGTTGACTGACGAGCTCCTTGCTGAAGGTAATAAAAAGCAGATGTATAGATTGTGACACAAATGCCCTTTTATTAGGAAGCAGATCACAATCAGGTTGCATTCCAGTTCCTCCTCGTCCTCATTAAAGAACAATCAGTAATGATAAGAAACAAATTAGAAACATCCTTTAGTAGAAAATAATTCTCTCATGCGAGTTCTGTGTTCACACTACATTCATATTGGTTACGAATGACGTATTCACAAGCCTTTTGGAAAAACAAAAAAACATTGATGAATTATCATTACATAGCTTTGAAAAAAGGGAAAATAATTCACATCAAAGAGACGCGTGCTGGCACGATAAAGTTTCCCATCATGCAATTGTCAGTTGATTCTATTCACAGGGTGGGCGTCATTGGTCTCCACAGAGTTGTGTCGGCGTGCATGCATGCATGTGTGTCATCTTACATGTGCCCTTTTGTGCTTGAGCAGAGATTGGTGTTTAGATGTGTGTGTAGTCAGTGCGCGAGTGTGTGTGCAGTCAGTGCGCGAGTGTGTGTGCAGTGTTCATACATACATGGAGCAGGCAACCAACGAGCCCCAAACTGGATAATGGCTCATGTTATTTTTCATACTTTTCTAACGTGAAATGTAGAGTTTAGTCTTGAGCCTTGGGATTACTTAATCAACTCATTAAAAACAATGTAACTGCACTGCGTGTTAAATGGGACGGAAAGCTTATTTCAAAAGCCGATTCTCCTAAAATTATCCAATTTATTTAAGTGGAATTTGAACGCCTAATTTGAAGGCATGAGTTGCTGTCCCAGTGCTATTCGTGGTTTTGGATTTAAATGTCCCTCTGATCATAGAAAGAAGGCTTAGCTGAGGATAAGTGACATTCAGAAGCTTTGTTTTTGGTAGAAATAAACAGTATTCAGTAAAGACAACATGTGACAGGCCAGCACTGACCTCATTAAGTAGGTCATCAGACCCTCTGAGTGTTGCTCACCTTTATGCAGTTAAAGGTAACAGATTTATTGATGCACATGACAAGACTGAAACCAACACAACATCGATGCTTGGCGGTGACTCCGATGGCTTCTTTCTTTGAAAAAATACATGAGCTCCGTGCAAATTTGTTCCTAAAGGCAAATAGGAATTCATGGACAAAACACTTTCCCTCTTATTTAAAAAGTGACAAATATTTTACACACTTCCACCGGGAATGGGAATTTTATGATTCCATGAATAAAGGTAGATAGAATAAAGAAGAATCATAAGTTTTCCATTCCTTGGATCTGGATATTGCAGTTGGTGCTCCTGTATTTATACTGACAGCGCATACATTAAGGGTGTCTATACAATATATTGCTCACAATCTCAGAGCCCATTTGCCCCCACACACTCGCACACACACACCTTCACACACATGCACACAAACGATAACAAAAGAAACAGGGGGTTTGCTCTTTGTAAAAAGAACAAAGGAACAAACCACTATTGCCTTAAAGAGATGAGTTTGGTGTGCAGGCGATCGGGAGCCGTGTCCTTCAGCATCGCGTCCTCTGGGCTTCTCCTCAGTGTCATTCATGAAAGACAATCGCAGAGAGTGCTATTGTTTATGTAGAAGGGTGGGCACGTGGGGAAGCCTCCTGGTCTTTTTATCAACTGAATCTTTGAAAGGATGTATAGTGCGTAAAGTGACCCCCCGTCCGCTGATCATCCTGTAGCCCTTTTTGCAGTAAATGTGCACTCTAGGGGTGTGGATGTGTTCGACACTGGGGTATTGCTCCATTTATCATGATGTGAATAAAGATTTTTTTTGTATATATAAACTTTGTGGCCACAACCTTCATCTCTACACATCATCATCAGTTTCTCCATGACCATGACGGTTAGTTGGGTTATAAAACCTTATTACCAGGGATATATATGTATGCACCATGCTCACACAGGTAAAATATTGTAGGCACCCATCTTTTATGTTGGGGGGATACAGCAACGTGAATCACAGTGTTCCTGGGTTCAACATGCAGGACATTACAGGACAGACTAGAAGTGACGTTGCCCCCCTGGATGCTGATCTAAGGTCAGTGTTTTCTCTCTATTTTTGATTCTGGAGCAAAAGGGCGCCGATCTTAGATCTGTGCCTGACCTCCGACCTACACAACACATCACACCGTGGGAAAATTACGCAAAACAACGACAAGGGGGGGGGGAGTGGGGGGGAGAAAGACTGACAGACTTGAAGAACGACACACAGTCAGGCAGGCAAGCGGACAGACGGACGGACAAACAGAGCTAGACAAGAACCGCTCTCTGAAGACAAAGAGAAGCAAAAGTGCAAAGTGGTCGTCCTCGAACTATCAACAAGGTTCAGTTGTGGCTCTGCGTTGCATTATATCACATCTAAATGTACAGCGTATAAAAGGTGTGATGCGTTCTGGGAGAGATTGAGTGACAAGTGCTTTCTAATGTGAGGCTAAACTGAAGTGGAAAAATTAATTATGAATGATTATAAACATATTCCTCAATGTTTTGCATTGATAACATTGCAATGTAAATGTTGCATAATGTATGCAGATATATGTACAATAGAGCATGTGTGTGCTTGTGAATTGCACATGGTTGTCTATGCAGGTGTGACTTCTATATGTGTGCATAATGCTATGTCTCTGGGTTGTTGTGCACACGCATGTCTTTGCTCTCCCCCCCCTCAGCTGCGACCCTCCTCCGCTGAGCGCTGGTCCGACTTGAGCTTGACGAACTCCTTGGCCACCTCGTCGTTGTTGCGCTGAGAGAGGATGCGCAGCACGGTGAGGCCCGTCTCGTCCATGTGGACGCGGCGGCCCAGCGGCATCCAGAGCGTCACGCTGCCCTTGCTGGCGATGTCCTTCAGCTGCACCACGGACATGCCCACCGTGCGGTCCTCTCGGGCGAAGCAGTAGTCCTTCACACACACCTGCAGCTCGTAGCTCTCCGGACCCACCTCCGTGCCCAACGCGCTGAAACAACACACAGTCATATCCTTGTTTTACTACACGTATGTCTGCATTTTACTAACACTCAAGAATTAACGTTTCAAACTCTTCCGGTACATACGAGTCAACCAAAATACCACACACCCTGTAGTTTTAATAACCTGCTACATTTGGAACCCAACTGATGTCCTTATCATACACTTGCTGTGTTTGGAACACTTGCTTTACTTAACCCTGTACTAAGGCAAAATAAACGTACCCTAATCTATAAATGGAAGAATGGTAGACCCAGGAGAGAGAATCTAAAGGTCAATCATGGAAAGAGAGGAGACTGAGAGTGTGATGTTACCCTGCTTTCGTCAGCCTTATGTGTCTAAATATGTGTACATGTAAACACAAAGGAGAATCTAAGTAGATAAATGTGTATACGAATGTATAGGTGTGTGCGTATGTCTGCTATTATACAAAAAAACTAAGAAAAAACTAAAAACAAAGTTAAAAAAAGTCACAGAGTTATGGAGTACATTGCCTGAGACTATTTAACTCAAAAATGATAAACATGTTCTTTTTATCTCGTCTTCACTGTATTCTTTATTTTGTCTATTTATAGTAAGAGGGTTAAGTTAATATGCTCGGTTGCATTTTTACTAAGTTATTTAGAGGAACCTGATGGATGTTAAATGGACACAGAAGTAGCTTTTTTCCCACTACTTACTGCAGTGCCGTATAGTATAGTATATAGTATGTAGTATAAAGTATATAGTATACAGTATATATAATTCATAGAGCAGACGGGATGATACTCACTACTGAAAGCTCTCAATGAACTTGGGGGACCAGGCGTTGTTTTTGGACTTGGTGGCAAACTTCCTCTTCTTGTCGCTGAGGTGAGGGCCGATGATGTAGACCTCCACGAAGGGCCTGAAGCCCTGAGCCTTCCACTTCAGGTCGTTGGCAGCCACCACTGGAGGGACAGACAGAGGTTAAGGTAAAGAAGCAATGCAGGAGAATACAAGGACATTTGCACAGCGATGCAGTCTTTGTTTTTACCTTTGATGCCGATCTTGTGCTCTCCATTAGGTTGGGGTAAAATGTCCACGCACATGATGACCTCA